TCCTTTGCCGGGCCCAGGGAGGTGGTTTTTCCAGGCTCAGGCAAGTATTGAAGTGGTGGAGGGAGAAAGGGGTAGTTAGCGCCGTTTTCTTTTGCAAACCCCCAAACGGGTTGCATTTTCAACTTGCGAACCTAGAACTGTGCCCCCATCCCATCAATCTCATTTGGGGAGAAAAAAAAAATCACGTTTGTTTAACTGTGATTTGCACAACGAACAGCCTTGATAACGGCTACAAGCCTAAGTCTTCTAAAGCAAAAGGACCTTCTGGATTCTCTAAGGAAAGCAGGACTGGGGTGGAGCTGTAGAGCAGGGGAGTAGAGAGAGGAAACAAAAACCCAGCTCAGCGGGGAACGCCCACGAAAGCCAAAGGTGTGCGGCCCAGAGCTGCTGCGGAGGTTACGGAGGAGGGGGTCGCGGGCGCGAACCCGGGAGCAGGGCGGGGGAGATTCTGTTTTGTTTTCAGGGACCATTTTGGTTTGGTTGTGCGTAGTCTGCGAGGCCCTTTTTTGATGGCTGGCTCTACTTAATCTCTTTTATACACTCGCACCCAATTTTATGTCGCCTGCGGGCGTGGACGAGCGACGCCACGCCAGAACGGCGTGCCCCCGACGGCTTTCCCCAACTTCTCGGCCCAGCTCAACTCGAGAGTCAGGCCTCCTTCCCAGAGGGCCGCAGGCCCCCGCCCCCCGACTCGCGGTTTGGGGAGAAAAGCCTCATTTTTAACCTCATGATGATTCCTTAAGGGAAAAACACAAGAGGTTAAAATAAAAACCCGGTTTGGGCTGGGACCTTCGCACAGCTGCCCACGTCGGCGAAAGTCACCCCTCGGCGCGCACCGGGTGGCCTGGTCCCCCGCGGTGCCAGGGGTCGGAGCCCGGGGAGAGGAGAAAGGACCTCGCAGTCCGCCTTGGCCAGCGGCGCTTCTTGCCCGCGGCGGCTCCAGGACCACCCAGGACCCCGGGAGCCCAAGGAGCAATCTGGAAAGATCTTAGAACAACAGGGGGAAGAGCGCAGCGCGGCTCGCCTCCCCCCTTCCATTCCTTCCCTCCGCCGCCTCCCGGGCTGACTACGCGGCAGACCAGTCCTCTCCCGAAGGCTCGGAAAGGCGGCGGAGGGGGACTGCAAGATTCAAACCCGCCTATGAGCCGTGGGAGGCGCGGGTGGGTGGTGGCTGCGGGGGCCGGACCGGTTTTAAGGCACGAACCGCCTCTTTTCGAGGGCCTCCAGGCCCGAAGTTGCTCCCGAGCACTGGGTTTATTTTGCTTTTGCAGGGGAGGCAGATGTTGACCTCTCTCCATCTTTGCTCGGCCCTGACTCGGCGAAATCATCCCCCCACCCCAACCATTTGCTTCCCTGCGCCACCCCCCACCGGTGCGCTATCCCGGGAGTCAGCATCCCAGTCCTTTAAACCTTCTGGAATGTCACACATGGAAACCTTTAGCAAATGTTTGTTAATGATCATAACAAAAGCATCATTCAAATTAGGCAGGTAATTACTACCAGAAGGACAACTGGGTGCTCACTTGCTCATCCATTCCCCATGCTTCAAACTCACGAGGAGTTACGACCCGAAGACACCCCCGCCCAGCCCGCTTTTCGGGCCACCTTTAAGCATATCTGAAATGAACTGTGAAGTTACCATTTGTGGGCGGAGAGCCCAGGGTTCTGCAGACCCCGGCGCGACGGGGCTGGCAGTTTCCCAGAGCAAAGCAGGCCTTCCTGGGTAGGCTCCCTACCTTGCCTCCTACTCTTTAGGGTATTTGACATAAAAACTTAGATCTCAAGTTTTCTTTATTAATAGCATGAAAGCCAGCACCCGCCTTCTCCTATTATTCCGCAGGCTGATTTTTTTTGGGGGGGGGAGGGTCGCGCGTCCCGGTTCATTATCTACAAACATTACGGTATCCTGTTAGCATTCCGAACAAGGGGCTGTTCATATATTTGCCTTCAATGATTTCCTGAAGGAACATGTGGAAGTAATAGTGAGCAGGGCAGTCACCCGAACTGAAGATGCACGAGAGGCGGGCGCGCAGAAGAGCTGGGGGAATGGGGCGCCTAGCCCAGCCCCAGGCGTCTCCCCGAGACTGACACCCCAGGAGCCCATCCCAGTGCAGCCCAGGACCCCACACCTTTCTGTGACCCTCTCCTGCCCTCTGTTTTCTTGTCCACCCTCCGGATGAAGGAGAAAGTTGATGACTGTCCGACGTTCCAGGCTCAACCTGGACGCCGTAGCCCTTCTGAGAGTGTGGAGGTGGAGTGGGGGTGGAGATAAAAAAAATGACCCCTTCCATCCAACAGGAGAACTCAAAATTAGAGAAGGCGGGGAAGGTGAACGCGCTCCCCTCCCCCTCCGTCACTTGGAAGCCCCACTCGGCCTCTTCTGGTTCCTGGAGCGTCAGCGCCCCCTTTCCTTCGCGAGCAGAATCGTTCCCTCCCGGTAGAGTCTCTTGCCGGGCGCTTGGGGCAGAGGATTTGGGGCTCCGCTCAGCCCCAGGGCATCGATAAGGTTCGTCCCTCGCGGCGGGAAGGAGCGCGCGGAGGTGAACCTCCCCTGAACGCGGGGGTGGCAGGTTTGTTGTAGACGATTCTTCAAACGCCCAAGCCTGAGCCTTTTTGTGTGCGTGATAGAAGCCAGGGCAACCTCGCCCAGATTACCCCGAAAACAAAGACACGACAAGATAAGTGGCTCCAGGGGAGTAAAGGTCGTTCTGTCGGAGAACGTTCCAAACCTACGCAGACCCTCGAGTCTTTGTACCGTCTTTCAAACCCATTTTCAAAGCAAAACAAAACAAAACCAAAAACAAAGACCATCATCTTCATATTGGACTCAACAGTTTGCTTAATCCCATTAAAGGATTAGCAACTACCCGGCACTTTCCCTAAAAGACCCCAAGCTGTAAAGACGCAACTGCTTGGAGACCTCTCCGGACAGCCCCCTGTCTAGTTGGGCTAGGAATTTCTACGGAAGAGACATTCTCGATTCCAGATGTATAATCTTTCTGGGCATTAACTGCAATTTCACGAGTTCTTTTTCTTTCTTTCAAAGAGAATGCAAAGCAGTATAGCAGCGTAGGAAAATATTCCCCCTAAATCAGGAGGCAAACTCATTCTGAAAATTATGGGCAATTTGTATTTTCACGAACCTCTTTCCCGGCAGAACATCAGCACCTCCCCCTTCCACCACCCCCACCCCATCTGGTATGCTTCTCCCCGCCCCCCAGTTGTTGTCGAAGTCTGGGGGTTGAGGCTGGACCCCCGATTGAGTAAGAGCAAAAAGCGAAGGCGCAATCTGGATGTGTGGAGATTCAGAGAGCACGGAGTTCGAGAGAACTTTTATTTTGAAGAGGCCAAGGGGGGGGGGCGCTTCATTTCCTGACAGCTATTTACTTAGAGCAAATGATTAGTTTTAGAAGGATGGACTATAACGTTGAATCAATTACAAAACGCGGTTTTTGAGCCCATTACAGTTGGAGCTAGAAGGAGAAAAACAGAGGAGGGGACTACAGGAGAGGACTGGAAACCGTGGACACTTTTTACTCCCTATGTAGGATTTTCATTACGAATTGACATAGGAGGAGAAGGTAAGAAAGGAGAAAAAAAAATGATTTTTGTTTCTAAGAGAAGTCCCTGATCAGGCCCCTTGGGCTAGAAAAGAAGTAATTTCACTCAAACTTTGGGCGATGAGGAAGAAAATGGAGTTGAATTCCAGCTGTGTGTCCAGAGAGTCATTTATTTTGAATAAACTTCACTTGGAAGAAAGATAACCATAGAGTTAGAAAGGCTAGGGATTAAAAAAAAAACACATTTTCCAGACCTATTTTTAAAAGCAGTGTTTTTCTAACAACTCTGTAGCCTCCCAAAGAAATTGTTTAGGCTTACATTTTTGAGGTTTCTTTTGGGTTTGGGGGTGGTATTCATGTATACCGGGACGAGCACCAAGTAATGCTGGGAGTGGGGGCAGAGGTGTTTGCCCTCTTCTTGGCAGTAGGTCCTGGAAGGCGACAGGTTTTTAATGAGTATTTTCATTCCTCGCCCGCGGTTTGGCGGGACAGCGCTGCAGCGGGTGGTGTGGAGCGCGGCTGGGGGAGGTGGAGGGAGAAGAGCGCCGAGTGGGGCGCGGAAGGGGTTGCGAGGAGGGGAGGCGTGAAGGGCTCGGCTGGAGAGGGGCGGACCTTGGGTGCCAGCCGGGGGCACATGGCGCCGGCCGAGGGCGCGTAATTACTGGACCGCGCAGAGCGCCGGGTGCGAGCGGGGGCCAGACACAGCACAACCGTGGCTGCTGCAAGACGAGCAGAGGGGGCGCGGACGTGGGCGAGGGTTTGGGGGACTCCCCAGCGGTTTGCGGGATCAGTGAAGTGAGAGGGAGAGCGGGCGCCAGTCCCGCAGTGCGCTGGGGTTGCGCGCCCTAGTGCGGGGGCGAAGGCGGCGCGGGCGGGCAGGCGGTCTGGAGTAATGACAAACACATTTGGCCCCGAGTGAAGAAGTCGCCGTCGCCTCCCATTCCAGCAAGTGGGATTTGAGGAATTTCGTCCTGCGCTCCAAGGGGCCCTCCTTGTGCGCTGTGGTCCCCACCCCCACTCGTCTCCGCGCGCCCCCTTTCCTCGGTGGAATCGTTTCTTTTTTTTTTTGCAAAGCCCGGGGCTCTACTGCTGCCCAGTCCCGGCCACAGGAAGGAAAGAAGGAAGATCTCCAGAAAAGTGCAGAACTTCTCTTGGGGAAGTTAGGGACGACTCAGAACGGAGAAACTTGGTTCCCAGGTAAGAGAAAGATGGTAGGCGAACGGACCTCACCACCTCCCTCCGGGCACCTGAGCTCAAGACCCCCCCCCCCCCCTTGCGTGTCCCTTTCCTCGCGGGGATGCGTGGCACTCGCCGCCTGCGCTCGCCCTGCGCTGCTTCATCCTCTCTAGTGCCTCTTTCACTCTTTGCGCCGGCCTCCCTGCCTGCTTCGGAGCAGTCTCCTCGCGCCCCTCCTTCCTCCTTCGTCTATCCCCATCCCGGCACTGCCCGGGGAACGGGCGGCGTCCACTTGGCTCGGAAACAAATGGGATCAGCGGTTCTGTTGGGAAAGGGTCGCAGCCAGCTCAGAGCCAGAGGGACCCGAGTACGACAGCCCTAAGGGCCAGGAACCCGACCGCCTGGCCAGGTGTGCGGGAGCTGCCAGTGTCCTGGCCAAGCGTCTCCGACGGGAAGAAGTGTTGGGCTGTCTGTCTGTTGGCTGTGCGTCCTTCCAGCAGCCGGAGCGCCCGTCCCTCTCTCTGCTTCCCTAGCCCTGCTAAGACCTCAGGATTGCAGAACGAGTGCCTGGAAGAACTTGCCACTCACTCCATCTGCCAGGGTGAGAGGCAAACCTGGGCTGGAGAGGGAGCGTGGATGGCCTTTATCAGGTCCGGACTGCCCCGAGCCCGGCCCAGCTGCCTGGAAAAGCCCCGGGCTGCGCCGTGTGGGAAATGGCTTTTTGGCTCCGCAGCCGAATTGCTCAACGTTTTGGACCGACTTGGCTTGCCGCAGTCGCTCGCGACCAGAACTAAGCAGCTTTTTAGAGCAGGGAGACATCTGGGGCATACGGGCAGGACAATCAGCCGCACAGCTGCCGGGACTAACACCCCGGAGCCCAGCGAGCGTCCGGGCTGCTGGAGGGCAGGCAGGCAGAGGCACTCCCGGCTTGCGCACCTCATCCGTAGCCCTGGTGGCTCTGGTTTTAACACCCCCCACCCTTTACCCGCTTCTGACCCACTCGGACCCTGGCGCTTCTGCTTTGCTTCTCTTCCCTGTTTTCCTTTCCTCTTGGTTTCCTCCTTCCCTCTTGCTTGCCCTCTTTCCACTCTCCCATGATAAAGGGGCTCTTCCTCTGCTCCCGGACAGGCCTACAGGCGAGGGCCCGTCCATCTTCGCTTTGACACCCTGGTCAGTCCCTCCTTCGAGGCTCTTACACAGTCTTGTTTTTGGTTTGACCCTAGTGTAGCTTGGGTGAGTCCCCACAGCGGGAGGGTGGGGGAGGGGGGAGGCAGAAAGAGGAGGTGAGGGGCTAGGCAGCGGGAAGGAACGGGTAGCTGACCCTCGGACCTTGCACCAGTCCTTAGGTGGACCTAGAGGGACTCGAAGCAGAACCCCGGCTCCCGGCCCCAGGTCTGCTTTCTTCTTGGGGCGCGGACTGGGGAGGGGTGCAGGGGGAGGGGCAACGGGCCGGGCTTTCCAGCTGCAAACGCGTCTGGCGCCGAGGCGGGCCCGTTTTGTGCCTCCTGGGGACCGGCCGTGGGCGGCGCGCAGCGCCTGGACGCGTCCTGCGGACGTGGTGGCCAGCGCCTTCCTGCAGAGTCCAGCGGGTGGGACTCCCTCCGGCCTCCGGGGAGCTGCGACAGGGTTACATGTTGCTGATGGACGAGTGGCAGTTCTGGGGGAAAAGCTAAAGCCTGCTCGGTGATTGAAAGGTGCGGTTCTCAGCGTCCCTTGAGTCTGGCTTCGAGGGGCCCACGCGCAGCATCAGCCGTCGGGGTGCGAGGCGGGGAGGTCCCGCGCGGGATGCAGGCTCCGGGCAAATTGCTTTTCTCTACTGAGCTCTAGTCCGAGCTCTGCCGGTGCATGTCTTTTGCTGAAGTGGCTCTGCGGCATTTCCTTTTGTTTTAAACTAAACAGGGAGCCAGGAATTGGTTGGAAAAATAGATTGGAGTAGCTAAAGAGGACCTCGGATTTGGGGCGCTCCCCTCCCAGCCAACTGCAGTTCTCCCCTTCCCCGAGAAAGGGAAGCGAGGGGCGCTTGTGGGCGCGAGTGTGCGCTGGGCTCCCGGGGTAGAAGCGAGCATCGGGCAGGGGGGCGCAGGGGGAGGCCCGGTTCTTTAAAGACGAGGGGTCGCAGTCTCAGCTCCCCGAGGCCTTCTCTGCCAGCAGCTGCCCGCGGCCGTGTCGCTTTCGGGCCCATAGGAGGCGCTGGCGCGCGACTGTAACCCTAAACCACCCCCCGGCCCCTCTCCCTCCACCCCTCCCGGCCACCTCTCAGGTCTCCGCCGAAAACAATGCAAACGCCCAGCTTCGTGCCTGGGGCGCCGCGGCCGCTGCAGCTCTGAGGCCGGGAGTGCGGCCGATAGGGACGCTGAACTCCCACCGAGCGGGCGGTCGTCGTCACCAACCCTGGAGTAACAGAGCGGCCGCGGGCGTGGGGGTGGCGGGAAGGGAAACGGCCGGCGCGGGGTCGTGTGGGGGCAGCGGGGCAGGAGACGGGACCGTGCGGAACCTCCCTGGCGAAGGTGGTCGAGCTGCCGGGCAGGGCTGCGCTGTCGGGGACCGGGAGCCCGAGCTGCCGGCGGCGGGCGGGCCAGCGAGCCGGCGAGCCGGGTAAGATTCGCGGGGCTGCTGCGCCCTCTAGTGGCCTCCCGGAGCGCGCGCCGCCGGGCTCTCCTGCCTCTGGCGCTCGGAGCGCTGCGCTGAGCCCGAAAGCCCCGGGCCGACCGACCCTGTCACCTTTGCTGCGGCCCAAGACCTCGGATAGACGCCTGCAGGCGCGGTGTGTGTGGCTCGGGAGGCGCTGGGGGGGGAGGGAGGGGCGGGGTGAAGGGTTTGGGGATGGGCTGGGGGCGTCGTCGTGATTGAGCGTGGGACAAGCGGAGGAAGGCGGAGGGTAAGAGGTCCCGGGCGCTTTTGGGGGGTAGCCGCCGACGTTTGAGGCCTCTCGCTCGGTCCCCTGCCGCGCGGGCGGCCCCTGGCTGTTTGTTTGTTTTACGACCCTACGCTGTTGAGCAACGGGAACAGTCGTTTCCAATCAGCCCGCGGTTCCCGGCTGCCCGGCCGTCGCGGCCCCCGCCGAGCGGGTTTACGAGGGGTGACAACGGCCTGCGAACAGATCAGGCTGCGCGGCCAGGGCTGCGGCGTCGCGGTCGCCAGCCGGCGCGGCCCGGGTGGTTTTCCTCCTGCGGGTGGGCGCCATCCCCGGGGTGGGGAGAGCGTCGGGGAAACAAAGCCCTGGATGCCCGACCTCCTCTCGAGTGGCTTCTCCTGCCCAACCCTCTGAACCTGTGCGGCCTGGGTGGCAGCGCCGTCTTGCGGGCTCCCGAGGCCCCGCTGCCCTAGCGGACTCGCTCGCAGCGACCGTGCTGGTGCCTGGCCCTCACCGAATTCTCCTGGGGCCCCGAGGACAGTGAAGCGTTTTCGGCAACAGTTTCCCTATTCCTGCTTCCATTCTGTGGGCTCTGAACTGAGGTCACCACGACACCTAAAAGTACGATCCAAGAAAGGAAGAGATTGGAAGTTAAGATTTGGGACACTTCGGCACAGAGCTTCCAGCAGCGTCTGTGTCTCCACGGACCCCGGGACGCACGTCCTTGGACCAACACTGTCATCTGCTGGCCACACTTGAGAACTGCAACGAGCCTCTGTGGGAATGGGCTTCGTGGCGTTTCTAAGCAAGTCGTGGCATGAGGAAGATGCATTTTCTGCCTGGTAGTACCAAGTGGAAGAAGAAGACTGGTTTCTTTTTACTACAAGGCTGCAAGAATCATTGGGCTGGTCACGTTTGTTTTGTGGACCTTTGTGTAGTTTTTCACTTTAGTTCGTTCTTTGCATTTGTGTAATGAGCAAAGCGTGGACCTACATCGGAGGATCAGAGCAGGTCTGTGAAGAAGCTAGGCAGATCCTTGCATATCCCTTTATGAGCGAAGTGCTGGAGTTGGGAGCTTGGTGATCTTGAGTTCAGGTGCACTGTAAGCGACTACACCCGAGGTTGTCTCATTAGGAGTCACACCAGTTTGGTGACAATCAAAAGGAAGTGTCATTTCAGTCTTCTGTGGCTAAATATCTGGTGCAGGAAGAGCAGAAAGGTTTACAAGCTCAGACTGTCCCATAAAATGCTCCTGTGTAAGAATACTCCAGCCACCACCCATCACTGGAATGTCTGATGGAGCGCAGAGAGATCAAAACAGCAAAACAGCGTCTGGTGGGGTGCAGATGCTGGTAAACACGCCCTCCATGAAGCTGCCACCAGTGTAGGCCAGCATTTGGATCGCCAGGGCTGGAGTTACGAGACGGAGTACAACATTTGTCACAGGGAAAAAGCAGGACATGTAATTTTCACAGTTAGAATTAACTTAGAGCCGAAATTAACCGAACCTCGGGAATCTGAGTCTGGAAGTTGTCAGTGGCTTTGGGGACTGTGAGAGAGTCTCCTGTGGCCTTTAATCATGCCAGGGTGGGGTGAAATTCAAGATTCAGTGGCTCGGTGGCAGGATGCATTGAGTCCTTGGCGATCGGGAAGTTAGCTCTCTGGCTTTCTGAGAAGGCTAGTGTGCTCTCCCTTCTGGAAATAGTGCCCAAGCTCTGTTTACTCTCTAGCTTAGCACATTGTCTTTGGTTATTGAGTTGCCCTTCAAGGCTTTTCTTTTTTTTTTTTTAATTTTTTATTTATTTGCGAGAGAGAGAACGAGAGACAGAGAGCATGAGAGGGAGGAGGGTCAGAGGGAGAAGCAGACTCCCTGCCGAGCAGGGAGCCCGATGCGGGACTCGATCCCGGGACTCCAGGATCATGCCCTGAGCCGAAGGCAGTCGCTTAACCGACTGAGCCACCCAGGCGCCCCCCTTCAAGGCTTTTCACTTCTGTTTGCGGGAACAGGGGTGGCAGCCCATTAAGGACGGTGGCTAAAAACAGATTTCTTTTTCTGTTTTACGTCACCGTATATATTGGTTCAAGTTAAAACAGCCTTGATCTTTCATCAGGCCTTCGTTGAACCTAAGTTTAGATCCACCTCTCCAATATGCGGGTGATGAAGGGCAAGTCCAAAGGCCTCTGGGCCTGACCTTCTCAGTAAGTAGAAGTTGAAGGAGTTACTCTGACATCCCTGTCATCTCAGACATCTTAGTGGGGGGCGCCTGATGCCACAGGCAGTTGAGCATCCGTCCGACTCTGATTTCAGTTCAGGTCATGATCTCGGGGTCATGAGATCGAGCCCTACATTAGCTCCATGCTGAGCACAGAGTCTGCTTGGGATTCTCTCTCTCTTTCCCTCTGCCCCTCCCCCTCCTCATGCACACCCTCTCTCTCTCAAATAAATAATAAATAAAATCTTTATAAAACATCTTAAGAGTCTGCAGGAAAAGAGTCGATATGAAGACCAATGGCTGTGGTTTCTAAAGCACTTTTGACTAAACTATAACTTAGTCTTTATAATAACCTGGTAAAGCAAGCCAGCAAGTCAGGTGTTATTAATCCCCATTTATAGAAGAAGAGCCGGAGGTTCAGAGAGATGGACTAAGCATCCGATTGGGATGAACCTAGTCTAAAGTGATTTCCATCATACTTCGGAGAGAAGGAATGAGAAAGACAAGAAAATGCCATGGGGGGGACCACAGGTCACTTGCCTGAGAGTGAACGTGGCAGACATCTCTTCTCCCTCTTTGTTTCTCTCGCTCTTGGCAGCGCTTTTTGCATTGTGGTTATAGAGGATGGAGCCTGAAACCCAACTTGTAGCTGGCATGAGAAGACATGATTATGATTTTTTAAAAACAGATTTGGATGAAGTCCATTGCTCTCCTTGCAAAAAGTGATTTTTGGATTTTGGCTCATTTCTCTGAATTTGTAACCTCAGTTACTTGTGTTTGCACATCTAACTTTTGGATATGCTCCAGGATAGGGACCACTGATTAAGGATGAGCGTTTACTCCCCGAGTGGAAAAGCCCAGGAAATAACGAGCTGGACTCCTCGAGATCCTCACTACATGGCCAATAGGCAGGGAGGCTATTCTCTCCTGTTGTTTTCCATTACCTCCCTGTAGGGCAAACATGCTGCAATTATTCACGACGCAATTGTCTGAGTTACAGATGAGTCATGACATGAAACTTCACAAATACGCCTGGGTTTCTAGCCAGGGAACTTCTCTTATCAGAGAAGGGAGTTTGAAATCTTCGGCAAACACATGTAGAGTCTCGGTGTTCGCATCATTATCGCTGGCTCTGAGGCCCTGCTTTCAGTGCCCACATCGTCTGTCAGTGAATCCTCCTCCCTAGCAGCTGGGCCACCGTATCTGGATGCACAGAAGGCAAGCTGGTGGGGCTGGCCCGGGGCAAAACGCTCCTCAGAGCCCTTCTCTTAAGCTTGGGAATGCTTTAAAGATGCATCATTGGCAAGCCCTGCTAAAGAAATGCAGGATATAAATGTGATAAAACCCAAGACATCAAGCTGGCTCTGGAGGGCTCCTTTGAAGTTGGCTAAGTGGATTATCAGTGGGAGGCTGATATTTATATGTACAAACACACAGGCCGTTACTGCTAATTGTGGTAAATCAGGCTGTCCAGCCTGGCTCTGGGGCCCGCTGTGCCCGTCACCACAGCAGTGAGGAAACCCTGCAAAACACCCTCCCCACACCTCCCGGGCACATGCCAGGAGCCTCAGAAGCCATCAGCAAGCCAGCATTGTGCAAATTGCGTTTGGGTTCACAGCGCCGCGATTGTACTTCTCTCACTAGGGTGAGCAGAGAAGGGAAGCAGGGCCCCAGTTTGCATTAGGAAATAGTGCTGGGAGGGGGAGGGAGGGGACACGCAAGGCTGAAGTACTGACCTTCCCTTGAGGGAGACCATATGGTGAATTGGAGAGAGCATGGCTTTTGCATCACACAGACTTCGTGTTAGAATTCTGGCTTTAGCACCTGCTGTGTGACTTGGGGTGACTTGCTAAACTTCTCTGAGGCTCAGCTGGCACTTCCTAAAATCAAATATGTCTCAGGGTTATTGTTAATAGACACAGCATACAGATTTAGCATTTTTTCCCCGTCCAACCCTCCCCCTCCCCCCCACCATTGCCAGCATTCTGCCTTTCACTCTGTCTTCCTGCTCCATTTTCCCGGTAGAATTCAATGAAGCAGAAATCTGATTTGTACATACGGGCCACCTGAAAGCAAAAATGCATGATCAGAGGCTAACCACAGGCATACATAGAACTTTTTTTTTTTTTTTTTGCTGTGTTTTCTTGGTTTGTTTGTTTTAGGCCAGTTTGCTCAAGAATCATGAACACACATCTTAGTTTCCAAAGCTAGTGATGGAAAAAATTAAATCCCATGAAGTCTTTCCATTTCATGTGTTGGGGTTTTGAGCAAGGTAGGGACCCAGGACATCCCAGAAAAAGGCTTAGGTCATTTTTTTAATGGGATATTCTAAAGCTTGCACCCCCCCAGGGGCCCCTCTGTGGGACCTCTCCAGTCGAAACTTGGGTGCTTCGCAGCGTCCACACCTGTAAGCCTGTGCGCAGGTCTTTCATTGACTTCAGTCAGATCATGAAATCAGTGACTTCACGTGGGAAGTGATGGGGAGGAGATAAAATAAGGCGAGTGGGGATGCGCAAGAAAAGAAACGGATAAGGAAAAAGGGGCCTTTTCATGGGATTGACCAGAATAGACTGTTCCATGGCTTCACCTTGGGGCTCCTTGGGTCCCTCTTAATTTTCCCTCCCTTTCCCTGCTTGTGTCCTGCGCCATTTGGTTTCAGTCTCTCTCCACTTCTCTTTAATTCCTCAGATTTTGCAGCAGGCAATTGGAGTCAAAGACTTGGTTTCTCCAGGTCTCTACTGAATATTATTGGGTGGTTTACCGCATCCCCCAAAACACGGACATTTAGGCATATTTTTCTCCCCGTTTCCTCTCCCTGCCTCACCTTCTTCACTGCTCCTTCCACGCCTGTGCCCTGGGCTCCCCTACCTTGGTCAGCCCGACTGTGAGTGCAGTGGGTCCTGAGCCTATTAGGGGCCCGTGCATGGCAAAGGGATGTCCTCCAATTGACATTGGTTTTGACTTTCAAAAACTCGAGATCAGAATGGCTTGTCAATAAAAAGATACTTGTTGTAGCCCAAGCATCTTTTCCAAAGGTAGTGGTTGAGTTTCACGTACTTCACATACTCTCTGTAGCGAAACACAAAGCAAATGACAACCTATTTTGAGCGAAAATAGCTCCAGTTTGGAAGTTGAGTAAATACGTGTGTGCTTGTTTTTCACATTCTTCATTTCAATGGATTAAAAGGAACAGTTCTCTTATACTCTCGGATGCATTCTGAGACCATAAAAGCCAGACTTTTTGGAATTTGAAAGCTGCGTGCAATCCAAAAGGGTTTCAGCTTCAGATGGCTCCTGTCATGATCTTGGGGTCCCGTTGGGCTATGGGATTCTTTTTTAGGTATCTTAACTGCTTTAACCATGAATCTTAAAGCGAGGTATTTTCGACTAAAATGATGCTATTAATGTTTTCCATGTTGCAAAGCACAAAAGGAGTGAGGCTCCCAGGTGGTTTTATTGGCTAACACTGCTTCTGTTTGATGCTTGATTTTCCAGTTTTCCAGAATGATGGGGACTTCCCTTCTGGCCCTCCTGATCTTAGGCTGTCTCCTCACAGGTAAGGATCCCAATATTCTCCGACTTCACTGTTCTGGGGGAACCCTTGCCTTCTAAGTTCTGTGCTCTGGGAGTGTATTCCTTGCACTCTGCAAACACAGTCCAAGAGAGGGGAGGGAAGTCGAAAATGTTGAGAAGTTACCTAGAATGACCACAAGCCTTCAGTTCCCTTTGCTGGATCGAGCTAACTCCAGTTCAAAAGGAATGCTCACCAGTGGCAATTTTAGTATATGTATAATCCTGGCATCGCAACGTGGTAGGAATCATTGCCTAAATTTGCCCATTGCTCTTTTCTTTTTCCTGGGACATGGATTTCCGGAGACATTTGCGAATGTTCGAAGGAAATAAACGATGGAAAATTCATGTCCAGGGAATCATACCTGTCTTAAGTGGAAGATGCTTAAATTGCTGGAAAAATCTTAGAGCCACGTTTTCCCTTGGAATCTGATTGGTAGAATATTTGACTCTTGGGAAATCTTACTAACGTTTTTCTACCAGGAGGATACCACTTGGACCATTTGTGGAAATATTTATGGGCGTTTTCTTAGTTTTCATCCAGATGTTTATACATCACAGATGTTCACCGTGAACCCAATGTTTTTCTGGTCTGAGGAGTTAACTTAAGTCTGTTAGCGTCTGTGGGGCTTATCTGTATGGACATGTTAGCCTTGAGCAAGGGTTCAGTAGTTCCAAACACCACCAAGTATACCCCGTCTGCGGGAGGATAGGTGACCCAATGCAATTATGAACCTGGCCTGAGGCTGCAAGAGTCATAGTGGGTGCATAGTGAAGTTGGGTGGGGTTCCCACATTGGGCTCCAAAGGAGATTAGAGACCATAGATTAATAATTAAGTCATAAAATCTCTTCTGTCGGTTTTATAGACAGGGAAAACTGGACTGAAATTTTAGGTTCTAAGATGAACTTAGAGTTTTCTTTAAGTAGTCCTACTTTAAAAATGTAAGTATGTAAGTATTCTTTAAGTATTTAAGTATTCTTTTTTTTTAAAGATTTATTTATTTATTTATTTGAGAGAGAGAATGAGAGAGAGAGAGCACATCAGAGGGGGGAGGGTCAGAGGGAGAAGCAGACTCCCTGCTGAGCAAGGAGCCCGATATGGGACTCGATCCCGGGACTCCAGGATCATGACCTGAGCCGAAGGCAGTCGCTCAACCAACTGAGCCACCCAGGCACCCAGTATTTAAGTATTCTTAATTTAAAAATTAAAATCCAGGGGCGCTTGGCTGGCTTAGGCAGTAGAACACGAGACTCTTAATCTCAGGGTCGTGAGTTCAAGCCCCACATTGGGTGTGGAGCCTACTTAAAAATACATAAATTAAATTAAGTGAGGAAGCATGCCGGAGTGTTGTGAGGAATGGAAAAGACATGATTCTTGAACACAGACCTGCTTTGTGCTTCGTTCAGTCTCCCCGCCCTGGTTCTCACCCCATTTCGTACTAAGGGGAGCGTCTGCAGGGAATGTGGACAATAAAGAACCCATATGTGCTCGCGTCTCTGCCCTCTTGGGATGCTTTATGGTCACACACGAGAGTCTGAAATATGGAATTGGAATCAGGCGTCCTCTCTCCATCTGAGTGTTCGCTGGGGTGAATCTCAGGGTTTGGTGGGGCTTTTGAGGCCTTCGGAGCATTTGCTGCTCTCAGCAGATGCCGCGGCTGTTATAATGGGGGGCCTTTCATGGGCATCCAGGCTAACGGATTTTGGCGCAGAAACGGTCATTGTTGCCGTAAGCCACTGCTGTTGGCTCTTCTCGGTTCTCTGGGTGAGACTGTCCTTTCTGGCTGCGCCCTATTCAGAGCCTGTTTCCTTTTACAGGGCCCAGCCTAATCCTCTGCCAGCTTTCATTACCGTCTATCCTCCCAAACGAAAATGAAAAGGTCGTGCAGCTGAATTCATCCTTTTCTCTGAGATGCTTTGGGGAGAGTGAAGTGAGCTGGCAGTACCCCATGTCTGAAGAAGAGAACCCCAATGTGGAAATCAGAAATGAGGAGAATAACAGTGGCCTTTTTGTGACCGTGCTGGAGGTGGTCAACGCGTCGGCGGCGCACACGGGCTTGTACACTTGCTATTACAACCACACTCAGACGGAGGAAACGGAGATCGAAGGCAGGCACATCTACATCTACGTGCCAGGTGAGCCGTGCGGGCCCCCTGCACCATGCTCCTGGCCCTGTCCCTCCCGCCAGCTGGATCAGCGTCTTAAGACATACAAACACGATAAACATTTACGGGAGAAAATGTGACAAATACGAGAGAACGCACAACGTTAAACCAAGGTCACTTGTGAGACCATTATCAAGAAATATGTATGGGTAACGTTTTGGAACCACGTTACATTTTAGAAAATATTTTTATCAGGGCACGTTTCATTGGCATTGTGCAAAAAAATCTGAAACGACTTCATTTCTGTTCAGCTCAACCAAGCTTGACGAGTATTTGCAGTTTATTTGTTGTGTGTCCGGCGCTATGCGAAGTGTTGGGGACACGAAAATTAATTAGGTATCTTGGAGCTGCTTATTGTTTATTTTAATAGCTTCCAAATAACCATGCTATTCTTTCAGATGGCATGAAATATATATTCTTGATTAATTAGGTGGGCTTTTTAAATTCAAATCTGGGGTAAACTCCATACTAATGATGTTGTCTCCCGACCTGTGAGAAGCAGGTGCCAAGACAGGAGTAAGATGGGATGAAGCACGCTAGGGCTTGTCGAGGGGACAAGCCTGTGCGAGAAAATGGGGAGGGATCCAGCAGAGCCTGGGAGGGCTGTTTGCCCGCATTGTGGGTGTGACCTTGAATGGAGGAGGGAAGGAAGGAAGGTAGAGTAGATGAGTCCTAGAGCTCTGTGTCAAGGAGGTCTGGGACCTAAGGAACCCCTGTGCCACACAGTCCTTGGCTGGTGGCCCCTTTGGAGGGCATGGCCTTGGGGTGTGAGCCTGCTCCTAGAGTGGGAGATGGTGTGGTGCTTTCTCCCAGCAGCCCTGCTAATCAGCTAGGCTTAGCCATGAGCTTGAGGTTCATTTGGTTTACCACCCAGCTGGTCTGCCCCGTGCATTCCTTGTAATGATCTAAGTCTACATCTGTACCTGTATCTATGTTTTATCTGTTCCTTTGTGTGTATCTGTCTCTCTATATCTTTATAAATCTATATCATCTCTGTCTGTATCCATCTCTGTCTGTATCTATCTCTATCTGTGTATATTGGTTTCTGCCAAGGACAGTTGTTTAAAGAAGGGCCATGATACTATTTAAACATTGCATAGATAGTCCATTATGGTAGGGAAGACTTGCATTTTTATTTTTATTTTTATTTTTTTTTAAGATTTTATTTATTTATTTGAGAGAGAGAGAATGAGAGAGCACATGAGAGGGGGGAGGGTCAGAGGGAGAAGCAGGCTCCCCGCTGAGCAGGGAGCCTGATGCGGGACTCGATCCCGGGACTCCAGGATCATGACCTGAGCCGAAGGCAGTCGCTTAACCAATTGAGCCACCCAGGTGCCCAAGACTTGCATTTTTAAAGGAAGCCCTGGCTGATGTATTATGAATATCAAAATGCATATTTTAACCTGAGATGAATTCGTAGCTTTGTTTGCTGAAATCTTTACTAACAGAATTCAAGGATTTGGAACTCTGAACACAAACTCAAGTAATGGAAATCTTCGTACATAAATTAAAAGGGACTATAGCTAGAGTACTTGGCTTAAAGCAAATAAATATACAAACTATTGATAACTCTTGCCATCTTGTTTTGGCAGAGGTGAGGTAAGGGGGTCTCTGAAATATGTCTTCCTGTCTTTCTGCCTTTTCCTTGTAAGTTTTTTTTTTTTTTAAGATTTTTTAATTTGTTTAATTTGACAGAGAGAGACACGGCGAGAGAGAGGGAACACAAGCAGAGGGAGTGGGAAAGGGAGAAGCAGGCTTCCCGCTGAGCAGGGAGCCCGATGTGGGGCTCGATCCCAGGACCCCGGGATCATGACCTGAGCTGAAGGCAGACGCTTAACGACTGAGCCACCCAGGCGCCCCATTATTTTTTTTAAATCAGCCACTCTTCTTGTCCTCTGTAACTGTGGGTGCCCCATGGATCTCGACTCTCTTCATTTCTTTCATGACATTCTTAACTGTCTGAACCCTCTTCCTAACAAAAAAAGGTTTTGTTTTAAGAAGGGTAGGCATTTAGAATGTCACCCCAGCTTTGTTCACACATAAATGCCCCCTGCTTTGAAGAGGATGGTAGGAATATGGGCTTGTTAAAGGCATATGATGTTTTGATCATCTTTTTGTTTGTTTGTTTGTTTTGATCATCTTAAAATTGTCCAAAAATTCTCCCCTACCCTCAGCACAAACACTGTCCAAGTAAGTTCTGCACTGCTGTCAGTTAGAGATCTTTTTATCTGTAGTCATGGAGAATAAGGGGCCCTTCTGAACCCGACGTTTGAGACTCTCAGGATTCCGTACTGTAGTAACTTACATAGCTGGTTTTCTTTTGGAAATAAAATTCTCAGGCTGTGGAACTGTAAATTCTATTTATTACTTGACAGATGATTTTTTTTAATAGGTTTCTGTACTACTTTTCAGTAATACTGACTATAGACAATAGGAATTTTTAAATTCTTTTTTTGGGGGGTCTGGGGTTTTTATTGGTGATCGTGGTCTGGGGCACATGTCCTCTGAAGCATCCAGGCACTAACTGGTCAGAACAAAGACAGGGTCCAGGTGTCCTTCATAAGTCACTCATTCCCTGAAGTCAGGGGTCTTGGCATCAAGGTGTTTGGAGTCAGTGGTCTTGGAGGATGTTTATGACCAGAATTTTTGAAATTATGAGTATTTTCTCTTGTTTTGATAGACTTGATTATTGATCATTTTTTCAGTAGTGCTTAAATTTTGATTTCAACTCCTGGCTAATATTTAGTCATCACCAATCTTTTTACTAGGGTACAGGCATTTTGGTGTTATTCATACTTTAAAATAGCCTTCTAGGGCGCCTGGGTGGCTCAGTTGGTTAAGCGACTGCCTTCGGCTCGGGTCATGATCCTGGAGTCCCGGGATCGAGTCCCGCATCGGGCTCCCTGCTCGGCAGGGAGTCTGCTTCTCCCTCTAACCCTCCTCCCTCTCATGCTCTCTGTCTCTCATTCTCTCTGTCTCAAATGAATAAATAAAATCTTTAAAAAAAAAAATAAAGTAGCCTTCTAGCTCTTACGGTGATTAATGTCAGTGTGGTGACAAGTTCTGGATATATGTGAAGGTATCATTCATACCTAATGTGATTAATGCCAGTGGGATAATTTTTCTTCTGAATATATGTGTAAAGGTGAAATTAATGCCTAACGTGTTTTTCTTTCTTTCCCAAACTATAGACCCGGATGTAGCCTTTGTACCTCTAGGAATGACAGATTATTTAGTCATCGTGGAGGATGATGATTCTGCCATCATACCTTGTCGCACAACTGACCCCGAGACTCCGGTGACCTTGCGCAGCAGTGACGGGGTGGTGCACGCCTCCTATGACAGCAGACAGGGCTTTAATGGGACCTTCAGCGTCGGGCCCTATGTCTGCGAAGCCACCATCAGAGGGAAGACGTTCCAGACCATCCCGTTTAATGTTTATGCTTTAAAAGGTACTTGTAACCTTCTCTCTCCTTCTTTAAAGAGCTAAAGGCAAAATAACTAGATGTATACAGGATTTTGTTTTTTTAAACCATAGTCCCTGGTGATGGAGACCCTGAATATTTGGGGATTTAGGACCCCACCTTTACCATACGTTAGGCTGCCCTCTGTGGCTGTAATAATATTAAGCTTAGCACTACTAAAAACAAATGCTTCTTTACCCCTTGTAAGATTTCATATTTCATCAGTTGACTTCGAAATACTGTAAGGAATTCTTTTCTCGCATAAGCCTCTTACTGTTATACCCACATTCCTGACTACAGAGGCCCTAAAAACAAACACACACCTGTGGGGGTTGGATGCGTAGATTAACTTCAGTAACTTAAGAAAAGTGATTTTGATTTCGAGCAAAGCTTGTTGCTACAGCCCTCCCTTTGATGTGAGTGGTTCATCTGAATGGGAAAGGGTAATGCGTGTTGGGGGTCAGCAGTTTGGGGTGAGCAGAATGCCACTGAACGCTGGGTAAGGGTTTCTTTTATGCCAGCACTGTGCTTGGTTCTAGAAAAGCGCTGAGAATAGTTGGGCAGCAAGGTGGGAGAGAGAAGGAGAGAAATGGTAAGGGAGGAGCAAAATGCCCAGAGCAGTGCTGGTCAGAAAAGGCTGGTTGATTAAATGAATAAATACATCTGTAAAGGTGGTTGCAGAAGAGGAGAGCCATCCTTAACCCAAATGCTCAGGAATGTGGTGTTCTGTCCGATTGGAATTTAGTTTTACTCTTGTTACTATTTTGTGTGTAGGTGTTTGTAGGTATGTGTGTGTGTTATTTTATAACTATGTGCCAAATTATATATGCCAACACAAAATCAAAGTTTCTGAGACTTCAAAAAACTTGTCTTGATCACAGTGCTTTGAAAATTATTTTTCTTGGGCCAGCTTGGTGGCTCAGTTGGTTAAGCATCGGACTCTTGACTTGGGCTCAGGTCATGATCTCAGGGTTGTGAGATTGAGCCCTGAGTTGGGGTTTAAGATTCTCGCTCTTCCTCTTCCACTGCCTACCCCCCCCCAACAAAAACAAACAAACCAAAAGCTTAAAAAGAGAAGAAAACTATTTTTCAGGGTTTTAAAAGAGAAAGCAAACCCAAACCTTATAAGGTTCTAACTATACTGTGGATAATGAGGTCCTTTTGTTTGTTCTTCTTTTAAATAGCAACATCAGAACTTGATCTAGAAATGGAAGCTCTTAAAACTGTGTATAAGTCAGGGGAGACGATTGTGGTCACCTGTGCCGTCTTTAACAATGAGGTGGTTGACCTTCAGTGGACTTACCCTGGAGAAGTGGTAGGTACCTACAAGGCTCCTGGTGGCATGGAGCAGAGCACAACAGGGCTCAGAAGACCTGTCACTGACGGGGCATGACACCGATCTTCTCCAGACTTCAGCTTCCCATCTCTGCTGTGAGCCCATTTGACTAGATCACTTTATGGCTCGTTGGGCAATGGGGGAGGTTGAGACGCTAGCTGGACCAGGACCTTCAGAATCTATAAAGGTTGTACACTGAGCCTTCTTTTTCATAAGAAAGAAAGAAATAGGAAGGTTCTATACATACAGCTCTATCTATCTATCTATCTATCTATCTATCTATCTATCTATCTATCTACCTATCTATCTAATTCCCTTTCACTCCTGATTTGCAAATTTCTGTTCCCTGTTCTTTTTTGGCATTTGATAGCTTCTCTCCTTTTATCCATTTCTCTCCCCTGTGCTTTTGCTTCCCCTCTTCCTGTCTCTCCAGGGCATTGATTGGAAGTTGGGCATTTTCACATATGACATTATGACCTCATGCACTGAAGAGACATTCATAATCCTATATGTGTACATCTTCCCGGAATATGAGGCAGTTTGATTTTACTGTTCATGCTTGATTACCCTTAATCCTTAAAGCATAAACATTTCTTCTCATTTATTGGAGATAGACATTTTCCCCCCAAACCATAGTACATGCTATTTGGCCCCAAAATATATAATCTAAGTATTGTTTTATAAAACAAAGTTTTCATCAGATAATAAAAATAATACAGGTTTATCATCATAATGTTATCAAATTTAGAGAAACAGAGGAAAAGCCACTTCCCAGGACATCACTGTTAATATTCTAGGAAGATAAATCCTTTCAATACTTTGTATACAAAATAAATGTAATCATTAATAGGTATTATATTTTTAATAGTACTTTGTCACATCATTTTTCCTCTGGCAGTATATCACAAACACCGTACTATGCCATTAAATATCCTTTTTAAAACGTGATTTTCTAAGGCACTAGCTTAAGAAAATTTTTTTATTAGACTATTTTTTAGAGCTGTTTTAGGTTTGTAGTGAAATTGAGCAGATGGTACAGAGATTTCCCATTAGCCTCTGCCCTGTGCATGCACAACTCCCCCCCAGCCCCCTTACCAATAGCCTCGTGGGGTTGGCGGGGGGAGGACATTAGAATCCAGGAACTTACATTAGCACTTCATCCCCACCCACGGTGTGTATGAGGGTTCACTCTCTGGAGCCAGCTTTTTAAAGTGGTTTTCCTCCCCTTCTGCTGTAGAAAGGCAAAGGCATCACCATGCTGGAGGAAATCAAGGTCCCGTCCATCAAACTGGTGTACACTCTGAGGGTCCCCGAGGCCACGGTGAAAGATAGTGGAGATTATGAATGTGCTGCCCGCCAGGCCACCAAGGAGGTCAAAGAGATGAAGAAAGTCACCATTTCTGTCCATGGTACATTCTGCTTTCTAAAATGTCAGTTGTCCCTGATGCTTAGGATCCACCACGTGGTAATCATTACTTAATGGAAACTCTTCCCTGTACAGAGAAAGGGTTCATTGAAATCAAACCCAACTTCAGCCCATTGGAAGCTGTCGACCTACATGAAGTCAAACATTTTGTGGTGGACGTGCAGGCCTACCCACCTCCCAGGATATCCTGGCTGAAGGACAACCTGACTCTGATTGAAAATCTCACGGAGATCACCACGGACATAGAAAGGATTCAGGAAATAAGGTAAAGAAACACCCTTCCCAAGTATGCATTTCTTTTTACTGTGTCTCTCTAGATAGACTGAGGTTTGTGCATGTCTTACAACACAAACCAAGACTCAATCTAGAAAATGAGAAGTCTGACACAGGAGATACTTGAAATCAAGTACCTTTAATGATAACGTTGCCATGTGCTAATACTGTGCTGATAAATATTTAATAATAAAATAAGAAAAAAGAACTAAAGAGCTCTGTTCCCAATGAAAGATCATTTCCTGCATCCAGGAAGGGATGGAGGAAAGGAAGTAAAGTTGGACCCACTTGGATTGGATATATTCCATGACATCCACCATCTGTATGGCAAGTAGACATGTATGGTGATGCCGTACTTTCGGGCCCTCAAAATCCTTCCACACATATAATTTCATTTAACTAATTTTGGAAAGGACACTGTGCTATTGCATATGGTTATCCCACGCTACACAGAAGGACGCTGAGGCATGGAGAATTTCAGGGATGCGTGAGCTTGTCACGCTTTGTGACCAGCGCTCTTCCCATCCATCCTGTGGCTTTTTGGCCCTGTGATGCTTTACACATTTACTTATTTATTTAAAGATTGATTGATTGATTTGACAGAGAGAGAGAGAGAGCACAAGCAGGGGGAGCAGCAGAGGGAGAAGCAGACTCCCTGATGAGCAGGGAGCCCGACGTGGGGCTCGATCCCAGGACCCTGGGATAATGACCAGAGCCGAAGGCAGATGCTTAACGACTGAGCCACCCAGGCGCCCCTGTGATGTTTTATAAAGAAGGGCAATCAAATGGGCAAATACTTTATTGATGAACCCATAAAAACACACAGAGTCAAATGTCACTTATAACACATGGAAGAAATCTTTAGGGGAAACTTCCCTTTAATAAAGTATGAAGAAATAGATTTTTCTAATTTATTTTTTTAAAAGGTGATGGAATCTTGTGCTTTATTAGTACTTAAGCATCAAGAAGGTGCATTGTAAGAAGCTTTGCTCCATTCCTGCCGCCATTTGCCCCGGTCTCCCTGCCTCCCCAGGCAGAGGGAAGTACTTTTATTAGTTTCATTAGGTTCTTCTGAAACCTTCCCGAGTTTCTTTAAGCAAATACCAACAAGTAGGAATGTCATCCTGGAGACCTCTCCATGTCAGTGTGTAGACTGTGTCCTGTTGCTCGTCTCAAGATGTCTGGGCTTCTGTTTAAGAATTAAGTGTCTATAAGTCAGACCTTCACTATGTAGAAAGGGCACGGAAAATCCCAGAAAAGCGAAGATATGGACAAGAAAAAAAAGATGTTTTTACTTTTTACGAAAACAAACTTTAAAGTGAACATGGCACTGTTGGAACAGTTGGCATCTCTTTGGCTATGACTAGCTGACACAAAGGCCTTTTTGTTTCAGGTATCGGAGCAAATTAAAGCTGATCCGCGCTAAGGAGGAAGACAGCGGCCATTACACGATCGTCGTTCAAAATGAGGACGACGTGAAGAGCTATACTTTCGAGCTCTTAACTCAAGGTGCATCAGGCAGTAGAAAGATCATATGAGGGCGCCTGGGTGGCTCAGTTGGTTGGGCGGCTGCCTTCGGCTCAGGTCGTGATCCTGGAGTCCTGGGATCGAGTCCCGCATCGGGCTCCCTGCTCGGCGGGGGGTCTGCCTCTCTCTCTGGCCCTCCCCCCTCTCATGCTCTCTGTCTCGTTCTCTCTCTCTCAAATAGATGGAATCTTTAAAAAAAAAAAAAAGAGAGAGATCATATGAGCTCAGCAATGAAGTGAATGAGTGTCCCCCCAGGAGAGCCTGGCACTCTTCTCCCCCGGGGGTGGAGAGAAAAGCAGCGCTTTATGGGAGAAGTAGCTGGTGTAGGCGTCACCTGTCAGGGAGAGCTTTGTTGGGCTATGAATTCACACAGTTCTGGGAAGTCCAGGCTGCTCTGAAACAGTCTGGGGAATTCCTAGCTTACAACACCACCTGCTTCTCAGTCTGGCACCTCCAGTTCTTGGAAGAGTAAAGTGATGCGTTTTGGTCCAGATGACCTTAGGTTGTTCCAGAGAGTTTTGGCCTTTTCGCTTAGCTTCCCTCAAGGCATCGCACAACGGCCCTTACCAGGAGGGACTGCCTCGGTCTGTTCACGTTCAGGTCCAGCCCCTGTTCATTGGGTACCTACCGTGTGCCTGGAACTGCGTTAGGGGACTCACTTGACCCTCACAGTAAATCTGTGATACAAGCATTAGCATATTTCTAATTTATTTGATCATGGATTTAAAAAAAAAAATCTTTTAAACCTAGTGACATTCCACAGATGCACTTTGGTAAATGCTGCTTTAGATTATACTCTAGCTGAATCTATTAGTTGAACCCCAAGCCGTAATACAATTTTAAGAGCCTCCTTGCCTTTCAAGCCAAATAACCACAGGGGCTTTTTACTTTTCTCACTCCAGATTTAGAACACCACAGGATACAAATCCCTAAACACTGAAACTCTGAAAATGCTCTTAACCAAGTGGGTCTACCCAAAGTGGAGCATTATGATTATGCACATAATTGCTTTCAGCCCCTTCTTGGGTGGTTACTCGCTTGACAGGTCCGATGCGACGTGGACAAATTCTGAACCTGAATTCTGTGAACCTGTGGCTCACGGAGGTTCTGGGACCCAGATGATTCGATTCTGATCTCTTTTTACCTCTTGCAGTTCCCTCGTCTATTCTGGACTTGGTTGATGACCACCATGGCTCTACAGGGGGACAGACTGTGAGATGCACCGCTGAAGGGACGCCTCTTCCTGATATCGAGTGGATGATCTGCAAGGATATTAAGAAGTACGGAAACGAGAGGTTTCTTTTTCATTGGTGGTCAGAATGTTTCTTCCTTGATACAAAGAACTTCAGATGCATTTGCTTTCTTTGGCTGGCCCTTCTTTTGTATTTGTGATTCTGACTGGGCCTAAGTCTCATAAACTATAGGATAGGGTCCTAAGCACGGGCCTGGTGTGCATGCGTGCATGGTGTGGTGCCCGTGACCCATGTGGTCATGAAGAGCTATAAGGAGAAGGTCCCTGGCTCTCACCAGATTCTCCAAGGGTGCCTAATCAGAAAAGAAGATGAATTTAAAGGACTGCAGGTCTAGGAGGATTTTTACCACCCTGGTCCACTTCGCTTTATATTTCTTACAGGGTGAGCTTTTTTTGGTAGCTAGATTGGCATGTGAACATAAATGACAATATTGCCCATGGTGACTGCTTGCTTCCTTTGCCTACCTGCTGTTTGGGGGAGTTAACTCACCAGTTCTTCCTTTACCCCCCATCTGTCCATCTTCTCTGTTGGGCACTTGAGTGACATGCTCACGCTTCCACCCATGGTGACTGCTTGCATTCAGAAGCCTCGATATTTTCTCTTGGAAGCTGAGACTCCTAGACCTTCCCTTTCTTAGGGGATCTTGATCTTGGATCTTGACTGGGGCTAGAATCTAGGTCTCATTAACTCGGCCAGGGGATCACTCCAACCCTAGTGACACCTGAGGGGCACTTGACAGTGCAGGTGGGGAGAGAAGAGGGGGCCAGGCTTTTTCAAGGGGTGGGCAATTGGGATAGTTAAACATTCTTGAAGTGGGTCTGTTCAGTTGGCTCATGGGTTCAAGACTTGGGATTGGTAGTTATATTTGATGGAACTTATTTCTACCTTGCGTGCTTCATAAACAGTTAACTTTCAATTATCCACATACAGGTTATCCTCTGTTGGGTCTGTGCAAACGAGTTTCAGTGATATTAATATGCACATAAAATACAAAAGTCCACCTGTAGCACCCCCAAATGTAGGCAAGGTCAGAGCTGCTTACCACCATAGGTGATTCTCACTGCTTTGCTCACCTCCATTGTCCTGATAACTGGCTCTGTGTTTATGTCCTTTTTCTCTCCAGGTGTAATAATGAAACTTCATGGGCGGTTTTGGCCAACAATATCTCAAACATTATCACGGAGGTCCACCCCCGAGACAGGAGTACTGTGGAGGGCCGAGTGACATTCACCAGGGTGGAGGAGACCATCGCTGTTCGATGTCTGGCCAAGAATCTCCTTGGGGCTGAGAGCCGAGAGCTGAAGCTGGTGGCTCCCAGTGAGTTTATCTTAGTCATCAGCCAAGCCCTTCCTCCTTCATGCAGAACTTTGAATCCCAGATGGGGTCCAAAAGGAATGAAGGTCCCAAGGCAGAAATTCAGCTCTGAATGCTCTTAAAGGGCCTTCTCTGGGCATCCACATGGGAGCCCTTTCTTTCGGATTCTGACCCCCAATTGCACCTTGCAGAGGCATCCTGCTTGTCTAGTGGGATAGCTACTCCGTCTCTGTAGTCTGAGTGTGGGGACAGAAGATGGGGAAGGGGGATCTTCTGCCTTGTTGCTCCTTACAAGTGAAAATGAGCCAGGCAGCCTTGATGCTTTTCCGCCAATAGTGAGAGATTTCTGGCCCAAACACAACCACATCGCCTTCCTGTCCTCCTGCGTGTTTGTGCAAATTCTTCCTCATGCGTCTTTCTCCTTCAGCGCTGCGTTCTGAACTCACCGTCGCCGCTGCGGTCCTCGTGCTGTTGGTGATTGTGATCATCTCACTTATTGTCCTGGTTGTCATTTGGAAACAGGTAGGTATTTTCCCCAAAGAACTAAAAACCTTTGAAGCCAGTAAGAACAAGAAGAAGAGCAGCCTAGCTCAGCATGTGGCACGGAGAAGGAGCTCAGTAATTATGTGTTGAAGGAATGTGGGTTGATCCTGCTGTGTCTGGTCACTTTGCTGCCATTAAGCTTTGGTGCATCTGGGCTTTGGTAATTCACTAGTTACCTGTCCTGGTCATTCGTAGAAACCGAGGTATGAAATTCGTTGGAGGGTCATTGAATCCATCAGCCCTGACGGACATGAATATATTTACGTGGACCCGATGCAGCTGCCTTATGACTCAAGATGGGAGTTTCCAAGGGATGGACTCGTGCTTGGTAAGCGCCTCTTGGGGTGATCTCCCAAGACTCCCCTTTGATTGGGACATAACTACTTTTTATAGCCTTGTGCAGGAATAAGGGATCTGAGCTTGTGCTTGGTAAGAGCTAGGCAATAGAAATTGGCTTTCAGAAGTATTTTTCTGTCTTGAAAATGAGTTAATTGCATCACTGCCATGGTTTTTAAAAAATCTCGTTCCAGGGGCACCTGGGTGGCTCAGTTGGTTAAGCGTCTGCCTTCGGCTCAGGCCATGATCTCGGGGTCCTGGGATCGAGTCCCACATCGGGCTCTGCCCTCAGCGGGGAGTCTGCTTGTCCCCTGCCCCTCCCCCCCCCCGCTCGTGCTCTCTCTCACTCTCAAATAAATAAATAAAATCTTAAAAAAATAAAAACATAAAAAAATAAAAATCTTGTTCTATAGCAAATTATGGTTAAAGAAAATTTTACAAGAGGAGAAGAGAATGTGAGGAGGTCCTGCCAAAGATACTCATTGAGATGGCTTTGCTTTGGGAGTCACACAAATTGATGGGATGAATTTCTGTGACTGAAAAGGAACAGACGAGATTTGAATGAGGACAACCACAAAGGGTATTTTAATCTAGTCCATTCTGAGGATGTATTAGATACTGCTTTAGAGTACGTATATTTAGAATATAGAATATAAAAATATAGGTACTTTTCAAAGCAAAATATGTAAAAATAATCAAGTCAACTTATCACAGACTTTTCACATATTTCAATCTTGGGCTGAGACCGAGTACATGAAGCTTTAGTTAAAGGAATTTTTTTTTTTAAATCACATTCTGAATGAATGAAAACAGGACAAAGACACAAAGCAGATGAACACAGGGGAAGGGAAGGGAAAATAAAATAAGATGAAAACAGAGAAAGAGGCAAACCATAAGAGACTCTTAACTATAAGGAAAAAACTGAAGGTGGCTACAGGGGAGGTGGGTGGGGGATGGGGAACTGGGTGATGGGCATTAAGGAGGGCACTTGATGTAATGAGCACTGGGTGTTATTTGCAACTGAGGAATCACTAAATTCTACCCCTGAAACTAATAATATGCTATATGTTAACTAAATTGAATTTAAATAAAAAAAGACAAGTGAAAGTTAGAGCTAGAGGTCATGTCACTGGGAGTACGCTAACCGTGTGTGCTTTGGAGGATGCCAGAGGCAGTGTTTAATGATCCACTTGTCTCATTCCAAAATACAAGGTTAGGTCTTACTAAAGAGTTACTTAAACTGAAATCAAACAAGATGTCCTAGCTACTTCCAATTTCAACTACTTGTACCTGGAAACGAAGTTTTCTTTATCATCTCTCCCCACCACCAATCCCACCCCTACTCCCCTCCCCGCCCCCCCCCCCCCAGTTTTACAAAAAGAGCAGAGGAACTTAAAGTAGTAAAATGTGTGGGGGGGAAGGGCAACATCCCTAATGTGCTAAGAGGCATTTCTGTGTCTCTCTGCTCCTGTGTGTTCCCCTAAGGCAGCCGTATCTTTCCAGGTACAGTTTCCCACAATGCAAACATGCAAACATGCACTGCTGGCTGTTAGTCCCTTAAGAGCTGAGTCTCCCACCCCCCGCCCCCAACACGGCTTGGCTCGGCGTGGTGAGACTGATATTTGGGGACGCATTCTTTTTAGATTGTGGGGACGGCAGCTTCCATTTCCTTATGTCGCTTCCAGCACGGAGCCAAGTGTGTGTTCCCACTGGGCGCTGTTAGCCTCTGATGGTCCCGGTCCTTCCTACAAGCAGGCAGCAAGACTTCATCACGCCTTGGAATCAGTGATGTCTTGAATACCGAAGTATTTCCAGTGGATAAGGACTTATTGATGCAAAAGATGCCTCTGTTTGCATGTGGAGAACAGAAGGGTAGAGAAGCAGGGGGTTTGGGCGAGAGCCACAGGAAACAAGGGCCTCGGAGCTTGCGGTCTGGCCCATACTGGAGCTGGGAGACAGAATGCTCACACCAGGGAAGGATGCACCCTCCTTACTCCTGCCCGCGGTTCCCTTCCCCTTACAGATGTTATTTGACAAAAGCAATTGTACTGATTTCCTTCCCTGTGGACTCCGTTCTGATCTTGACGTGCTGACTTGCAGGAATCGTGAGGCTGACTCCAGTCTGAAAGAATAGCCCCCCGCTGGGCGCCCATGCATGCTGGCCGTGGTACATAAAACCGAGGGGACGAAGCTCCAGTCCGCCTGTGTTAATGGTTCTGATTGCTCACAGGTCGTATCCTGGGATCTGGTGCGTTTGGGAAAGTGGTTGAAGGAACTGCCTATGGGTTAAGCCGCTCCCAGCCTGTCATGAAAGTAGCAGTGAAGATGCTAAAACGTAAGTGCCCTTTCCTGGGATTTTTTTGAAACCAGAGGTTAGTCAGGTGAATTGCTCAAAATCACACAGCGAGTACATGCCAGATTTAGGACCAGATCTTTCGATTCTAGGTTTTGTGTGTATTTAGGCTCTTTTCTCAGTCGCGTTATTTAGATTATTCTCATTGCCTGTATGTTGGAAAGTCAAGAGTTGTTATTTTGGTGACTTCTTTTTACCCTCAAGACTAGGCATTAGTTAGTAGAGTCTAGACCAGGTCACTCTGTGTTTCTCTTTAAGGCTCTCAGTAAGTGAGGGGCGCCTGGGTGGCTCAGTTGGTTAAGCGACTGCCTTCGGCTCAGGTCATGATCCTGGAGTCCCAGGATCGAGTCCCACATCGGGCTCCCTGCTCAGCAGGGAGTCTGCTTCTCCCTCTGACCCCCCCGCCTCTCATGCTCTCTCTCTCTCTCTCTCTCTCTATCTCATTCTCTCTCTCAAATAAATAAATAAAATCTTAAAAAAAAAAAAGGCTCTCAGTAAATGAAATGATATCCCATCATAGGATTAGCCATGTCATTGGCTTTGTGTGGGAGGTAAATCACTTGAACTGATACGTGATTTATTTTTTCAACAGCCACAGCCAGATCCAGTGAGAAACAAGCTCTCATGTCGGAACTGAAGATAATGACTCACCTGGGGCCGCATTTAAACATTGTGAACTTGCTGGGAGCCTGCACCAAGTCAGGTAGGCTTCCTGACCCAGGAGTGAGGATTTTCACAGAAGACCTGTAGTTGTGAAGACTGTCCAGGCTTTTTTAAAGTCCTTCCTGTCTACCTCCAAACATGCCAGCAACTCTTAAGTCTCTTGAACGGAGTTGCCTGGATTCCACTGAATTGTCGGGAGATCCTTGTTTTTGAGCACCATCTCCTGTCTGTGCAAACATCGCATTTCATGGCTTTTCTGTTCTTCGTGTTCATGCCCGTTTCTTTTTTTTTTTTTTAAGATTTTTTATTTATTTATTTGACAGAGAGAGACACAGTGAGAGAGGGAACACAAGCAGGGGGAGTGGGAGAGGGAGAAGCAGGCTTCCCTGCTGAGCAGGGAGCCCGATGCAGGACTTGATCCCAGGATTCTGGGATCATGACCTGAGCCGAAGGCAGACGCTTAACGGCTGAGCCACCCAGGCGCCTCTCATGCCCATTTCTTAACTGATTTTGGTTCCCACAGGCCCTATTTACATCATCACCGAGTACTGCTTCTATGGGGATTTGGTCAACTATTTGCATAAGAATAGGGATAGCTTCCTGAGCCGCCACCCGGAGAAACCAAAGGAAGAGCTGGACATTTTCGGATTGAACCCTTCCGATGACAGCACACGGAGGTGGGTGCAGAGGGACACGCTGCTGTGAGTCGTTGCCTTAGAAGCCTCACCAGTGGAGAGAGCCCGTGTCTGCATAGAATCCATGTCTGCAGACCCCGTGCCACCAGGCAGCAAGACTTAGAGTCCCCCAGCCTTCCCCGTCGTACCCTGATGCAGCAGGGACACACCTGCCCACAGGTGTTTGGGACCAGATATCACGTGGGGAGGCCTTGCCAAGAGGTTTGAACGGAGGCAAGAGTTGGAGTCATTCTGGGAGCCATTTTGCTGGTAATGTGTGGTCCGCTAGAGACCTGTAAGTTGCGGCTCTGGCCAGGGATGCCTCCCTGCTGGTATCTTGTGAGAAACTGCCCTAGGACCTCCACGTTTGAGATTCTGCTCCTTGCGGACCCTGGGCCTAGAAATCAAGCCAGTGGTAGTAATCCCAACTGTGGGAACCTACAAGTAGCTACAGAGGTCTGAGTGGCTTTAAAGTTCTGTAAGATCAGAAAGTGCAAGTTCACTTTATATAGAATTACTCGATGGACACCACATTGGCACTGAATTTATTGAGGAGCAGGAAACATCTGGCCACGTGGTCATGCGGCCCAGGGTTTGTGGCCTGTGAGTTGAAAAACAGAGCAAGAATAAAGACAGACACACCTGAGTTGAGATGACCCAGTATTTGTGACCCAGGTATTTGTGTGATTATTGATTAATGCTCATCTCACCTGCCAGACTGCCCCACATGGAAGGTGCACATTGGTTTTGCTTTTGCTCGCCCCCCCTGGCTATCCCCATACCTGCCACACTGTCTTGTGTACTGTGGGCCCCTGGTCATCATCTACTGAAGGTAGAATGAGCACTCCCAAGGGGCACCCTGAATAAGGTTTCTTTTTCTGTTGTTACAGTTATGTTATTTTATCTTTTGAAAACAATGGTGACTACATGGACATGAAGCAAGCTGACACCACCCAGTATGTCCCCATGCTGGAAAGGAAAGAGGTTTCTAAATACTCGGACATCCAGAGATCGCTGTATGACCGCCCAGCCTCGTATAAGAAGAAGTCTATGTTAGGTAAAACTGTCACTGTCCACTCTCTGCACCTGCCAGTGGTTTAGTATGATATAGATTTCCCCTGCACTCTGAAAGTTGGGTTTCTGCCTCTCTTTGATGAAAGACCTACATTAGTACTTGTTCTCACTCACTGAAAGAAGTCTGAAAAGGATTTTTGGTTTTTACGAAATAGTAAGTGCTTCTTTGCTTTACACTGTTTTGGCTTACACAGGGTTTCTTAGGAATGCTCTGCTTTCAGATAGTGGTGGAAACCTGTACTTAAAATACTCAGAGGAAGGGGCGCCAGGGTGGCTTGGTCGGTTAAGCATCTGACTCTGGATCTCAGCCCCGGCCTTGATCTCAAGGCCGTGAGTTCAAGCCCCGTGTTGGGCTCCATGCTGGGCGTGGAGACTACTTAAAAAAAAAAAAAAATAACTCAGCGGAAGGTGAGCAGGCACGGTGAGCGGAACTGCCAGCCCGTGGTCCCTAACTGCGTGTCTGCACAACTGTATCTGTGACATGTTTTCAGAAGTTTGTGGCCTGTGAATTGAAAAAAAGAAAAAGAATAAAGACTTAATGCAATGCATTTTCACACTTTAAATGTAATCCTTTTAAAGAATGGTTTATCCTGATATACTTATCTTCCTTTTTTGGTGTTAATGTGTCTTTTTTTTTTAATGAAAGTATGGTGATCGCTGGTCTTTATTTTTTTCCCTCAGTGCCCTTATTGGCAAAATTAGAAGTTGGCTATCTCCTATTGGTTCCTAGTATTTATTTTCAAAATTTTAATTCTATAAGTCTCTGGGATCTAGGAGTTCAGTAGCCCTTGCTTTTGGCTTTGTTAATATCCACTTTGTGATAGAAACTGGAAAGTAGACAATTGGAGGTCGTGTTTTTCTGATAAGAGTGTTAGGTGTTTCTACTGAATGTTGTTTGAAGGAAGATCTGTCTGATCTTTCAAAACAGATGAACATGTGGCAGGATTGCATTGATTTATAAACTCCAGGGAGCCTAGCCGATGCCCAGAGCAGATGGACCACGCCACTTCTGCCAGGGTGGGGGTGGCCCTTCCAGGTTCTCGTCTAATCCCAGGCTTGGAGCGGGGAGGACACTACTCTTGGGTCCGATGTTGACACGTCTTGTGATTTTGTGTTATTGGGCCTGAGCCCTCCCATTAGTCAATGCACAAAAGTGTTGAGCTGCCATGGAAATTATTTTGAAAATCACTGATATGCTCTGAATGCTTGTGGGGTTCTTAAGTGAAAGGTACAATCTGTTAAAAAAGAATGTGCTTGTTTTGCAAAGCTCGGTACACAAGAATATTTTCCATTGCTGCAGTTCCAAGTTCCATTCACTTCTCGTTGCCAAATGGGTACACTTCCAAGCCCTTTAAAAAGATTAGCCAATGAGAGCTGTCGGAACCAGTGCTTCCTCTCCCCTCCCGTATTGTTAAAAATAGTTTACATTGCTTCCCAGGCTGGACCTGGCTCCAGATGTCAGGGGAACCTGATTCATGCTCAGCTTGGGTCCTGTTGGCAGGCGGACCACTGCTTTCTGGCCTTCTCCTAGCTGGCAGGAAAAATATGAATGGCTGCAACTACTCTTCACTTGCCTGAAAATTTTTAAAAAGAAATGAGAACTGCTGGCCTAGATTACCTCCTTCCTCGAAAACCCTGGGACCTTCCAGATTTTCAGAAAGTGGGGAAAATGGACAAGTTACAAAAGGAACTAAAGGCAAAGTCCTTGGCACTGACCTTTAAGATTGTTACCTCTAGTCTGACTGGGGCTGGATTTTATTCAGGAAATGAGCCAAACACTATGAAGGTGGCTTTAAAAAGAGAAAAAAAAAGGGGGGGGGGGAATTCCTAGAAGCTAGTTTTATGGACAAGTTACAAAAGGAACTGGGGAAAGTGGACAAGTTACAAAAGGAACTAAAGGCAAAGTCCTTGGCACTGACCTTTAAGATTGTTACCTCTAGTCTGACTGGGGCTGGATTTTATTCAGGAAATGAGCCAAACACTATGAAGGTGGCTTTAAAAAGAGAAAAAAAAAAGGGGGGGGGCGGAATTCCTAGAAGCTAGTTTTTCAAAGGGCCCTTATGTATATTCATCATGGAAGATTTTGTGTGTGTGTGTGCGTGTGTACGTGTGTGTTTTAGAGGTGGCCTAGGTAACTTGCTAACTAAGGCTGAAAAAAGAAATTTGGGAGGCAAACAACAAGATATGTGTGAGAACCCACTAGACTGGTCCTTATGGATATATATATATAAATATATATATATATATATATAAACATATATATATATGTTTATAAACCAGAGAGCTATTTCTGCAGATAGATTTCTTTTTAATGGTAGAACCTCTGCATGGCTTACATACCCACCCGTGAGGTCTGGAAATGCTATAGGAACATAATTTTAGATCCGTTCTTTGGACAAGGCTGCGCAGTCTGACAAGTGGCCACCCCAGGGGAGCGTCCCCGGTGGGGGATGCTTCACGCTGTCCTCTAGGGCCAACACACTTCATTCCTTTTCTGCAGACTCAGAAGTCAAAAACCTCCTTTCGGACGATAACTCAGAAGGCCTTACCTTGTTGGACTTGTTGAGCTTTACCTATCAAGTTGCTCGAGGAATGGAATTTTTGGCTTCAAAAAATGTAAGTGCGTTCATGGAATAGAGTTCTCTGTGGATCCAGGCCACAGGTCTGAGTGAGGTGAGCGTGGAAGGTCTCGCTTGAAGAGGCCGGTAGCAATGGCTGCTTCTCTTTTCCTTTTCCCCTGAAGCGTAGTGGGGAGTCTGATATCATCGGGTATCTACTCTGCTCTAGAGCTTTCTCCTTCTTGGGGGTCGTTGGGAGGAGAGCCTGGAGGAGGCGAGTTCTCTGTGCCGGGACAGCCTCCCCAAGCCGTGCCAGGCAGCTCCCAGCACCACCGGGAGGTGGCCAGTTTTGCAGGGGTGATGTTGTCTAGTGGCAGATGGACCAGCTGTTGTTTCTTCCCTTTCCATGCAGTGTGTCCACCGGGACCTGGCTGCTCGAAACGTCCTCCTGGCGCAGGGGAAAATCGTGAAGATCTGTGACTTCGGCCTGGCCAGAGACATCATGCATGATTCAAACTACGTGTCCAAAGGCAGTGTATGTGGTCTCTCCACTCACTTGACATGCTCACCTTTCCTCACTCAATCTCTAAAGCTAGGTGTTGCTTCTGGCCACTCAGGGTCCATATTTTTAACGTGGAGTCCATTTTAAATTCAGGAATGGGCTCCAGGGAATCAGTAGGAAAAGCACGAGCTCTGTAGCCAAGCTGCCTGGGCGTGAGTACTGGCTCCAGCACGTACTAGCGTGGAGATTTGGGGCGAGTTACCTGACCATTCTGTAGCTTGGTTTTGGTTTTCCCTATCAGTAGCAGTGACCTGATAACAGTACCTATCTCCTGGGTTGTTGTGGGTGATTCAGTGACTTTAACGTTAAATGCCTAGACCTGTGCCTGGTACATACGAGCAGTGAGCAAGTGTTCGCTGTTACTCGTCTGTGCTTCTGTACATGCATTCATTTCCAGAGAGAGCATCTCTGACTTCTACCAAATTTGCAGATGGAATCTATGACCCCTAAAACATTAAGACCATTTGAGTGCATAGATCTCAGAGGCCCAATCTCCTGAAAGACTGTCATTCTAAATGAACCCTCGGACCATCCTCCCCACCCCTTCCACCTCTGAGCAGAGGTAGCTCGGTATACATTTGCCACCTATTGGTACAATTCCAAATCACGCCACTGCACTGGTAGTGAGACCGCTCGGGGCCGCTGCGTCCACCCACAGAAGGCCACTGCTCTGTGTCTGGGGTCCATGTGGTTCGTGTACCGCGTGGCCATGACCTGGAGCTTTAGGCACCCGGAACAGATCAGTGGACGTTGGTGGAGTCGCTCTCTTGCCTGCTCAAGAAGCCGATGAATCAGTGATCTCGCCCGCCATCACAGAGGGCCAAAGGATGCTAACGTAGTCCCTTTATGTGGCGGCCTCAGCTTAGTGTTTGCCCCGCAGCCGGCACCAGCCTCACAGAAGGGGCTTCCAGATTATGAAGTGACAATTTCTTAAAGTTCAAAAATGTAATTGATTCTCAGATCACTGGATCTGTTTTTAATTTTGTTCCTAGGAACACCTGCAAATAGGAGACAGGCCCATTCAGGACTCTCACTCTTTGGGTAAACATTCAGGCTTAAATATTTTTGGATGTTATTCCATGGGAGGACACACGAGGCAACATCGACCATCCGTCCTTCATCAGATATTTATTGAGCACCCACTAGGTGCCAGGCACTCTTCTGAGTGTGGGGAGTGTAGCGCTGGACAAAAAAACACAAAGATTTTGTGGGCAAGGTTATTAGTGCAAGTTATTATTAGTCCACAGAGAACCCCTGTTATTTCTGCTGCTGTAGGTCATCAGTGGGTATGCTGGGTTTAATTTCCTCCGTCTCTCCGTGCAGACCTTTCTCCCCGTGAAGTGGATGGCCCCTGAGAGCATCTTCGACAACCTCTACACCACGCTGAGTGACGTCTGGTCCTACGGCATTCTGCTCTGGGAGATCTTTTCCCTTGGTACGGACCTGACATCTCTGCTCATTTGGGTTGTTTTGCAACAACACTGGAAGGGAAGCACTGTTTTCCAAGCTCCAGAGTGTAGACGATGCTAAGATACCTGCTGTGAGTCAAGAGTGGGGCAGCTGATTTAAATCACGAATTGTGCACTTGCGGTGTCTGGTGTTATGCCCATGCGCACTGAGCCAGGAGGCTTGCGGGGCTGCACCCTCACCTCTGGCCTGTGCCCCCCACTCCTTTGGGCTGTGCTTGGGTGACTTTCTCCCACTGCAAGTGTTCCTGAGGACACCCACTCCCCAGCTGCTTTCTCGCCAGGGACTTTGAGTTAAGTAGATTCACGGGTGGAGAGTCACCTCTCCATCGCTTCATGGTGATCGACGCTCAGGTGAAAAGTAGTATGGCGGGTGAACGGGCGTAACTCGCCTTCACGCTCATGGCCCTGGAGGAGGAGAGGAACCTCCTGGTCATTCAGGGAGTCAGTCCCCAGGTACCCCGTGCTGCCAGGTGAGGGCCCCGAGGGAGGAGTGATTTACGACCTGACCTTAGTTCGTCTGGAGAGGTAAGACCTCCATGTAGCGATAAACGGTGTGTGGCTGATTTAAAATCGTCATGGAAGAGAAGGGGGAAGGGAGCCCTGTGGTCGTTGTGGACGGCTTTAGAGAGGAAGCTAAGCTTGATCTGGCCTTGGCCATACACACTGAAATGTGTCCTGAATTCTGTAGGAAAGGGTTTCTTCCCTGCCTCGTCTCCTTTTTTGATCCCAGTTCTCCCTGCTTGGATGTCACTGTGGATCATCCCAGTGTGTGGCTTGACTGAGTCTCATGGTCTATTAAAAGCAGAGAATTATCTAGGTATTTCAAGCCGCAGCTTTGACTTTTGCTCTCGTTATTTGAACATCTGTGGTGAAAATGATTTTTTTGCCTTCAGTGGTTCAGAATTTCTCTTGCTTTTCTATTTTGCTTTATGTATGTAGATCCAGTAGTCAGAAACATTGAAAAACTCGTTTGTGCTTTTTCTAAAGATGTAGAATTTTGCCTCAGGTGTCTGGACTTGACCAACATTAAGTCCTGGTTACATTTATTTATTTATTTATTTATTTTAAAGATTTATTTATTTATTTATTTGACAAAGAGAGACACAGCGGGAGAGGGAACACAAGCTGGGGAGTGGGAGAGGGAGAAGCAGGCTTCCCATGGAGCAGGGAGCCCGATGTGGGGCTCGATCCCAGGACCCTGGAATCATGACCCAAGCCGAAGGCAGATGCTCAACCACCCAGGCGCCCCAAGTCCTGGTTACATTTAAAATTTGAGGGGAATTCCTGGTTACATGCAAGATTTGGGGAAGCAAACCGTGAAGTCAAGGAGATAATAACACTTAATTTCCTTGAAAGAACCAGAACTTCAAGTGGGGATCCCCAGGTATTTTCTGTAGGTTCTGTGTCACCCTGATAGTTTCAGCCATGTCCCACCGGCTGGCTAATCCTGGTTGTTTCCCTTGGTTTTCAGGCGGCACACCCTACCCCGGCATGATGGTGGATTCTACTTTCTACAATAAGATCAAGAGTGGGTACCGGATGGCCAAGCCTGACCATGCCACCAGTGAAGTGTGAGCCCCCTCCCCATCTTGTGGGCCTTGTGTTCATGCCCAGTGGGTCTGTGGGTTGTGGGGGGTGCCCTGACACCCCTCCCCGTGCCCACTCTGAGTTCTGTGCTCCCGCAGCTACGAGATCATGGTGAAGTGCTGGCACAGCGAGCCGGAGAAGAGACCCTCCTTCTACCACCTGAGTGAGATTGTGGAGCACCTGCTGCCTGGACAGTATAAGAAGGTTTGTCTGGGCCCCTTAAAGATGGGTGGAAAGGAATGGGCAAAGGGAAGACGTCAATAGCTGGTAGCTCTGTGAGCGAGCAGCACCGTTCAACACTGTTTTAAAGGAACATTTTCAGAGGAGGAAAAAGATTGCTTGATCCAGTGGCCTGGGTTTCCTGGAGTGCTCCCCAGACCCCTGGTAGCAGTGATGTCTGAAAACCCTCCCCTTTCCACAGGGCTCCCCTTTCATCTTAAGTGTGCAACACCTGTAAGCACTTTATTCTCCAGATATTTGAGTATCTGAAGCTACTGTGCAGTTAGAAGTCTCGGGGCATCCACAGCCTCATTTGCATGCACTTAAATCCATGTGAAATTGGCTTTTACCAGCTGACTGGAAGGAACAACCTCAGCTGTTATCTGTGGCTCCAGCTGGTTTTTTTGTGGGATAGGAAGCATTGTTCAAAGGAACAAATGTAATTTCATGGAACCAAGCAGGATACATTAATGAATGAAGCAACTTTCTGCTGAGATGCTGTGAAGGAACCCGACACAGTTGTATAATAAACTCCATTTCTGAGATTCATAGTAGTTGTCCATGTAGAGTCTTCATAGTTGTTACTTTTTCTCAAAGAGGAGCAGCATTAGGAGGTTGCGTGCTGAACTGGGAGTTAAATACTTTTGTCTGTTGATTATTTCACTGCCCATTACAACGCCTCGAAGTGAAGCAATGAGGAGGCAGAAGGAAATTATGGTAGGCCAGTCAGAGGAGTTCTGGCTGCGTTAAGTCAGACGTTTTGGTGGGAAGAGACTGGAAGTATTGTTGGAAAATGGGGTTTTTCTAGATCAAAGGTCTGTAAGTTTTGAGTTAGATTTCTCCAACATTTAGGGATCGGGAAGGTTTCAGGCATGGTGCTCCCAGTGGAAGTCCTTGTCACCTCTTATTGGGACCCATCCAAGCCCTGGAGAGATTATGTAACGGGGACCAGAAGGGTCCATGCTAGTCCCAGAGAAGGGAGTGGGTGTGTGTGTTGGGGGGCGGGGGCGGGCACAGTCCTAGCTAGTGACTCAGAGAACGGGCTCATTGTGATCTTAAGGTGAATGAGAGATCTCACTGGCAGGATGGCGGGAGATCTCTGTCACTGGTGGCGCTGTCTTCATGTCCCACGCCTCTGGGGACGGTTGACCTCTGACTCTCCTTCAGTTGTCTAAATCCCGTATCTGGGAGGGAGTTTGGAGACACAGGCGGTTAAGCGAGAGTAAGTTCTGAGAGTCCTTTTTGCAGTGCGGGCCGTGACACTCGCCTAACCGTGTGAAATGAATGTCTGCAGAGTTATGAGAAGATTCACCTGGACTTCCTGAAGAGCGACCACCCGGCCGTGGCGCGCATGCGCGTGGACTCGGACAACGCCTACATTGGCGTCACCTACAAAAACGAGGAAGACAAGCTGAAGGACTGGGAGGGCAGCCTGGACGAGCAGAGGCTGAGCGCGGACAGCGGCTACATCATCCCCCTGCCCGACATCGACCCTGTCCCTGAGGAGGAGGACCTGGGCAAGAGGAACAGACACAGGTATAGGGCTTCCGGCAGGGCCCCCCTTCTCCGCCCCCCGGCGCTCCTGATGGTGAGGCTCGCCCGGTGCTGCGTCCGTTCCACGGCGGCTGGCTGCAGAGTCCCCGAGTCCCGGGGGGTCTGCTCCGTTTCGTAGACGCTTCCCAGACCATCCTAATGCGGGCCCTGTGGGGTTGGGGGAGGTGTAGAGCAGGCAGGGACATGCTTCCCAGGTGGAGAGCCTTTGACCAGAGTCCCCAGGTGGTTTGATCAGTCACTGCAGCCCTGGTTCTTGAGATACTATAAGCCTCTCTTGCTGTTTTCTGCATGGGTCCTGGGACTAGGGGGAGAGTTGAGAGAGAGGCTAGCCTGGGCTATTTGATACTATCGGGGGATCTTAACCCCAGCTGCAAGTTTGGATCACCTGGGGAGACTTGAAAACTGATCTACACACTTCCCCAGACCAACAAGTTAGAACCTCTGGGAACGGAGCCCAGGCGCCTCCTGGCTGATTTTGTTCCTTCTTTTTAACTTTGTATAATGGAAGATTTCTAACCTGCCCGATTCAAGTCGAATAGTGAACTGTTGGTTCCTCTGTCACCAGACTTGAGCATTTATGAACTTGTGGCCAGACTGCATGAAGAGCCATATCTACTAGGCTACTACTCTCTTTGGACTGTTTTGAAACAAATCCTAGACATCATATCATTTATCCATAAATATTCCATTATGGTGCCTCTAAAAGATAAAGGCTGTATTTAAAAACAATAGCTGGGGTTATTAAGTTAATAATAAAATAAAAACTACAGTACCATTGTCTTGCCCTCCCCCACCAATTGACAAGAAATCGTTAAGAGCATCAGATATTCAGTGTTCAGATTTCCCTGACTCTCTCATAAATACGGTTTTGCATTTGTTTTGTTCTAATTGAGAACGAAGTAAGAGTCACACGTGGCATTTAGTTGCTATGTCTCTATACGTTTGTCCTGCCCCTTCTTACCCCCTTGCATAGTAACTGTGAAGAAGCCGGAGTATTTGCCTGTAATGTTCCCACATTCAGAATGTTGCTGATTGCATCCTGTAGTGTGTCTTACCATGTGCTTTCCCTCCTGTTTTTGCTGTAAACTGGTAGTCTGGAGCCTTAATCTGGCTCAGGTTAGATTTTTGGCAAGCATGCTTCAAAGCTGGTGCTGTGTACGTCCATTGGGAGCTACATACTGTCCAGTTGTCTCCCCTTCTGTGACATTAACAGCCATTAGTGATCATCACCTGGATCCATTAATTTATTACCAACGCGATGCTAACACCCAGCCAGGACTACAGTCATTAGTTTTCACAGTCCCGAAGAGGGGACCACGTCCCAGTACCCCACTGTCTTTGCATAGCCCTTGAATAGAGGCAGGAGAAAGTGATGATAGTGGTCCTTGGTTCCAGGTCCAAGTTGCATATGAATTTCTCTCTTTTTTTTTCCTCTTCATTCAGGATACTCTTGTCCCTTCTTCCTCAGTCATTTGGTTAGCTACATACAGTTATTTAGGCAGAAGCACATGGCGTTATTAGTTTGGAGCCTTGTGATTTTAACATCCCTTGCTGTTGGTATGAACCAGGTAACTTAAAAAGTACAGTTGTGGTTTTTGTTTTTGGAATGTGTTATGAGACTAGGGGAGGTTGGGCAGAGTGCCCTGACTTACCTTTGCTCATGACAATTTCAAAACTGTGTTTATATTCTTTTAGCAAAGTGTTTCTCTGAGCTTTGGGTATCTGTGGTAGCACTTGACCTCAGATCTGCCATCCTTTTTGGTTATTTTGTATGTCGGGGACTCTGAATAATATTTCAGTTATAAAAAGGTTTTGCTTTTTTTTTTTTTTTAAAGATTTTTATTTATTTATTTGACAGAGAGAGAGATAGCGAGAGCAGGAACACAAGCAGGGGGAGTGGGAGAGGGAGAAGCAGGCTTCCTGCCAAGCAGGGAGCCCGATGTGGGACTCGATCCCAGGACCCTGGGATCATGACCTGAGCCGAAGGCAGACACTTAACGACTGAGCCACCCAGGCACCCAAAAGGTTTTGCTTCTAAGTTAAGTTAGAAAGTTGTATTGATAAATAACATAAGCAAAGTGCCCAGAACTTTTCTGGGGGTACACGAGGCTGCACCGCAGAATTTGACATCTATTACATGGAGAGAATAATTCTAGCTGATAGATAGTTGTCGTCTTAGATAATTAGAACTTCTGCAAGGGTGATAACGTTTGATTTTCGAATTGTACGAAGTATGCACCAAATGACTACCCCCAGGTGGCTCTGACAGGTGGGCTGAGCATGGGGAGTGTCTTGGTCAGCTTAGGCTGCTGTTACACACTATCATAGATTTGGGGTCTTAGACAATAGAAATCTGTTTTCTCGCAGTTCTGGAGGCTGGAAGTCCAAGATCAAGGTGTTGGCAGGTTTGGTTTTTCCTGAGGCTCTCTCCTTGGCTTGCAGGTGGCCGTCTTCTTAATGTGTCCTCACGTGGTCTTTTTCTGTGTGTGTATTGCGGGTGTCTCTTCCTCTACAAGGACCCCAGTCCTATTGGGTGAGGGCCCCATTTTAATGACTTCATTTAACCTTAATTACCTCCTAAAAGGCCCTATCTCCAAATATAATCACAATGGGGATTAGGGCTTCAACATGTGAATTTGGTGTGGGGGGTGCGTTATACGATTCTGTCCATCATGGGGGTGGGGATGCCGGAGTTGGGATGCTCTGGGTCTAGGAAGGCATAGTGGTCCTGTGAAGTCCTCTCCTTGGGCTTGGGAGGGGAGTGGGCATGAGAAAAACCGGGTCTTGCTTGCTGTAGAGGGTTTGGGGGGTGCTGGGTCAGTACTATTAGGAGCCAGGCACTGGGCCACAAGAAGGGAATCAGAAGTAGTAAGCCCAGTCATGAGCTCTGGGACCACCACGAAGCCTGGCAAGCATCAAGGATGATCTGGGACTGAGTCTCCCTGAAGTTAGCTTCCTGCATGGCCGCACCCCTGCCTTCTCTCTGTGAGATGGATTGGCAGAGAGGAGCCTGCCAAGTCCAGGAGGGTCAGTGCAAGGGGGTGACTCCTCTGTAGGACTCCACTGTAGAACTGGTCCCCAGGGAGGGGCCATTAGTCCAAATCACAGTGTCCAAAGAAGTCTCATAAATGCAGGTCCTAATTGGGTTGGGGTCCATATCTGAGGGTTGACTTAGGCCTCCAGCTACTGGCTAGGGCCCCAGGAAGCAGATCTGTCTGGTCTGCCAGGGAGAAGGGTTGTCAGGACGATGTGATTATGAAAACCAACCCAGTGGACTGGGGTTCACAGTGAGGCTCCCGGACCAGGGTGTAACTTGGGGGTAGGGTGGAGTACAGATTCAGAATGGAGACAAAAGCTCAGTCCTAGGGAAGGGCCCAATCTGTGGGGTTGTGAAGGGAAACCTCAGTTTGGTGACCCTGCAGGTTCTAAGAGCTCTCCGGGCCACAAGGGCCTTGGGGCGGATGGCAGCAGACTGTTTCCCAAAGGCCCCTACCTGCCAGGCTCAGTTCTCTGCTTGGAAACGGAACTGACCTGGAGAGGAGGGGAGCAAGGCAGAGGAGTCAAGCCCGGTCCTCAGGGGAGAAAAGAGCTGGGTTGAGAGCCCCTGCTGGGCATGTGTGAGCCTCGGTCCTCTGGCTGGCCAGCCCATAGTGCAGCCTACACAGCACGTCTCCAGCATGCCGCTGCGGCCTCGCGGGGAGAGCAGACTGGCCTGCCTGTCAGCACCTGACCTGCTGGGAGCGAAATGACAGGTCCAGACATGTTGCAATCCAAGGCAGGAGAATGATAAGGCAGTAGGAGTTCAGAGACAGGAAGATAGGGAATCATGACAGGCTAGAGACTAGGGAAAATTATTTTTCTAAAAATCTTCACGAGACATTTTAAATGTCCAGAAAAATTGAGAGACTACATCTACTACTTAGCTTTAGTAGTTGTTAACATTTTGCCACATTTGGTTTCTCTAATTATATGATGTTACAGTTACCCCTATTTTATGTATATATGTAATATATAATAATATGTACTATGTAATTAATAACATATAATATGAAATATATATGTACCACACTCATATACACGCATCCTTTTTCTTTTCTTGCTAAAACATTTGAAACGCCAGCAAATATCTCCTAAGAATAAGGATACTCTCAAGGCGCCTGGGTGGCTCGGTTGGTTAAGCGTCTGCCTTTGGCTCAGGTCATGATCCCAGGACCCTGGGATCGAGCCCCACATCGGGCTCCCTGCTCGGCGGGAAGCCTGCTTCTTCCTCTGCCTCTGCCCCACCCACCCCCACGCTCGCACATACTCGCACTCTCTCTGTCAAATAAATAACTAAAATCTTTTAAGAAAAAACAATAAGGATACTCTCCTATAAAATCATAACAGCATGATCACATGTAAGAAAATTAACAACTATTTCCTGATATCCTCTGTTATTCAGGCCCTATTTAGGTAGGGTTTGAGTAATAACAATAATAATAGCTAATATTTATTGGGACTTAGTATGTTCTAGGTACTGTGCTCAGGGCTTTATGGTTATTACCTTATTTAATCACCCTGACAAGCAGGAATATCATCAGGCACTGTTGTCATCCCATTCCATAGGCCAGGGAACCAGCTCAGGGGGTTAAGTGACTGGTGTGACTCCCACAGCTGCTAAGTGCTAGATGATTTCAGACTTATGGCTCCTTTTCAGCCACTTTTCTGGTGGGTAAAAAGCCTTCACCCGGCTTTCCAGACTGGGGCTGGGGAAGATCGGGGAGGGTGTAAAGAAGAGGGGGAGAAGGCATTCCCGAGGCATGGGCTCAGATCCTGAGAACACTGTTGGGACACTCGGGAAGTCTCAGGGACAGCAAGTGACTGGCCCGGCTGTAGTTTGCAGCTGATTTCATCCCTCTGTGCTTTTCCTTCCCTCATATTGTCTTCTGATCAGGCACTGCTTACTTTCTTTTCCACCAGGACTGAGTTGGGGGGGCGGGGGGAGGCTAGAAATTGTCACAGCTTGTTAGCAACTCTGCTGGAAGATTTGACGGAAGAGAAGGAAGGCCGAAGCATGGAGATGACCTGGGATCTCGGTTTTGCATGGGGCCCACTGTGGTGTGACGCATGATGAGTAGCTGCCTGGCTTGGTGGCAGAATCTTGCCAGATCGGGTGGCCTGAGGTGGAATGCCAAAGGATCTCACAGGAAGAGCTCCTTTGCTTCTGGGGTTGGGGGTGCCACCCTAGCCACCCATCCAGTCTCGTGGGTCTGCACGTGGGCTTAACCTTTCCAATCCTCTCCCTCGTCCAGCTCGCAGACCTCAGAAGAGAGCGCTATCGAGACAGGTTCCAGCAGCTCTACTTTCATCAAGAGAGAGGATGAAACCATTGAGGACATCGACATGATGGACGACATTGGCATAGACTCCTCAGACCTGGTAGAGGACAGCTTCCTGTGACTGGCAGATTCAGGGGGGCACCTTCCACTCCTGGGGCCACCTTGGATCCCTTTAAGCAAACCACTTGATTGCAATGCAAACGTTTGGGAGGAGGACTCGGATGAGGTGTAAAGAGAAGTTCCCGGCCAAGGGCCTCAGGGAGCCTGCTCACTATGGATGAATGGGAGATTTCGAAATGAACCCTGTCAGCCTTGCCTCTTGGCAATGCTTCAGTGGCATCTCAGCAGCGTGTGAGGTTTGGAGATGTTTGGACAAGGAAGTGATAGGCCTTGGAAGGTGAACTCCATGTTTCCAAGGCATTGGTGAGATTCCAACAGACACAACTTCGATTGCGAGAAAACCCCAGCATTGTAATTATGTAAATAGGTCTAACTGAGGATGTGTTTAGATTTGTATTAACTGTCTTCTCTGGACTTCTGAAGAGACCACTCATCCCATCCATGTACTTCCTGCTTGAAACCTGGTATCAGCTGCTGTTGAACTCCTCTGTGAAGTACATGCAAAACCACTTTTGAACCTTAAAAGGTACTGGTACTATAGCATTTTACTTTTTTTTTTTTTTTTAGTGTTCAAGAGATAAAGAATAATAATTAACCAATCTTGTTTACTAGATTTGGGTCCTTTAGAAGCCCACCAACTCATTTTTGTATTGTAATCTACGTTTATAATACTACTGTTATCAGTAATGCTAAATGTGTAATGTGTAACACGTTTTCCCTACAGAGAAAGCACAATTAAAAAAAAAATTCTTACTAAGTAGGAGACAAGTTTGACAGTTTTTGACATTTATATCAAATAACCGATGTTTCTCTAGAAAATATGGTAATAGCTTTAGTGGATTAAATTTAGTGGAACATAGAGAACAAAGTAAATGTAGTGTCTTTCAGGAAGTCTGTGTTTTTAACTGTGTACTGAGTAGGTTCCCTAATCCGTTGTACTAAAAACAGTTAATTGCCCTCTGAAGTGATGGGATTTGAAAGAAACAAAACCCCTAAATCCTAAATGTTCTCAATATAAAGGCATAAGCCTATGCCTAACATGACTTCTCATGTTATTACCCCGTGGAAAATACAATCAGCAATAAAAAGACTTAATTTGCAGAGGTCATTTTCATGCCCACTGATTACTCTGGTGTATCCCAACATCTATATTTTTAAAATTTTACAAACCCTAGAAGAGTCAGAAGGATGCCTTGACCATGGCCCCCTTTCCTTCATCTCCTCCCCCACAGAGAAATAGTTTGAAACTGTGAGAACACACAGGCATCGTTTAGGGTTGCATGTGTGTTAGCCTGGATCCTTGGTTCCCAAATGTAACTGCAACCAGGATCACCAAATTCTAGGTCCCCACCCCAGAGCTTCTGAATTATTGAGTCTGGCCAGGGGCAGGATCCTGTATTTTTATGAACTCCCTGGCTGTTTCGATTAGCCAGGTTTGGGAAACACCAGCTTAGGGTATAGGAAGTTGCCATGGGAAACAGATCATTTGAAATTTGGAACTGGGCTAGAAGTCACTCATGCAGGAAGCCTGCTATTTTAAATCCTTGGCTTTGGGTCAATGACATTTAATGCCCTATATCTAGCAAGTGCTGCCCTTTGTTTAACTTTCCAGTCTTAGCTGAGGCTGAGAGAGCTAAATCTTCGTTTGGTAGGTCTTCTAGAAGTTAAGACAGCGCTTCCCACTGCATGGGGCAACTGGACTGGCCCCCCATGGCATGCATGAAAATGGCACTATTCAGTGTCCCAGGTCTCTGTGTAACCAGGTCAATATTGGTGAAAAAATTTTTTTTTAAGTTTTGCTGAAATTTTGGGGTGAGACGGCAGGACAAATTGTCACATCCATCCAAACTGTCAAACTGATTGGTGTAGGTTCATTGGCATTCTTTGCGATACCGCTTAATTGTGGACACTATGTGAAAGAAACACAGGCTGTGATTACCGCACTCACTGTGGGTGCTCCTGGCAGGTGATGCTTTGGAAGATGTAGCAGCAGTAACAAGGTACTTGACTACCCACTGGTGCAATCTCAATGCAAGCCCCAACTTTCTTCTCCACCTTTTTCATACTAAGTGTGAAGACTGAGCCAGACTGGCCATTTTAAAAAAAGAAAATCTGACTAGGTTCTGTAGAGCCCATTAGACTTGAAATACATTTGTGTTTCTAGAATGACAGCTCAAGCATTCTGTTTCTTGTACAGCTTTCTTTTGTTGGTGCTTTGCATTTTGATGTTCCTTTGAGTTCTGTGTGACATCACGAGGCTGGATGAAAATTCTCAGACAAGCAGGTTCTAGTCCTAACGAATACTCCCACCTAATGAGTACTCCCACCTGAGTTTGTGTGTGACTGCCTTTTTTTTTTTTTTTTTTTTTTTTTACAGTGTTTTCAGTGTATCACAGATTTGTTTCCTTTTTGGCCTCTTGCAAAGTCCCCAGATGAAAATTTGCCAATCCTTCCCGCTTTCTGTTTTTATGAAGACAATCAAAGCTGGCCTGAGAAACACAATTTGTGACTTTTTAAAATGATCGATGATGTCCTTAAAATGTGGTCTGCCGATCTGTACAAATGGTCCTATTTTTGTGAAGAGGGACGTGAGATAAAATGATGTTATACATCAATATGTATATATGTATTTCTATATAGACTTGGAGAATACTGCCAAAACATTTATGACAAGCTGTATCACTGCCTTTGTTTATATTTTTTTTTGACTGTGATATTCCCCCACAGGCACATTGACTGTTGCACTTTTGAATGTCCAAAATTTATATTTTAGAAAAATAAAGAGAAAAATACGTGTTTCCAAAATAGTGGTGTGGCGAATGTGTGAGAAGTAACTCAATAGGTAGGGTCTACTGATAAAAAAAAATGTATTACAAAATGCCCCGTTTGTGTTTTTGTTTTAAAACGTGTAAATGAAAATCTTTATATTTCAATAAATGATATATATGTAATTTAAAGTTATGCTAAGGTTCCAGCATTTTTGTTTTTAGCCGAATCACATGAATTAAAGCCATCCCATTCAATTTGCTTTGTTAGCAACATTTCAGTAGGACTCCATATTATGGTTTCGATGAGACCAGTAGGAAATTTAAGATTTGAATATTATTTGAGCTAGTTAGTTTTCAGACCCAGGATCTGACTTAAAGATGGCTGGCACTTGGCTCATCTTCAATCCTACTGTTTGTTTTAATAGCACTATATTGCATGGTATTATTCTCCCCTGCAGAAAGAGTACATTTACTGTCTACAGCATTCAAACATTGTCCGTGTGTGTAATATAAAAGATTACAGACTTTTTTCATTCTATCATCTTCCCTGTCCCTGTGCTGGTTCCCAGAGGCAGAAATGCATCTTCTATCTTTCCAGTTCCCTATCTGTGCATCTGTTTCTATACATATGTATACATCTCTGTTTTTGCTTCATATTTTACCTAAATGGGGTTTACTTCTTTTTTTAAAAAAAGATTTTATTTATTTATTTTTATTTTAGAGTGAGAGCACGTGAGAGAGCACATGTGCACAAGCTGGGCGAGGGCAGATGGAGAGGGAGAGAATCTCCAGCAGATTCCTTGCTGAGTGCAGAGCCTGATGCAGGGCTTGATCCCATGGCCCTCAGATCATGACCTGAGCTGAAACCAAGAGTCAGACGCTTAACCAACTGAGCCACCCAGGCACCTCCATAATGCTTTGTAAAGTGCTTTTCCCCCCGTTTTTTTTAAACATAGACTTTATTTCCTAGAGCAGTTTTAGGTTCACAGCAAAATTGAATGGAAGGTATAGAGGTTTCCCCTCTACCCCTTGCCTCCCCATCATCAGCATCTCCCAGAGTGGCACATTTGTTACACTTGATGAACCTATCCTGACACATCATTATCAGAGTTTATGCTGCTTTTCTCTTTCAATGTTATGTTTTAGAGATCTGAGAAGTACCTATAGATAGACCTCCCTCATTTTTTTTTTTTAAGATTTTATTTATTTATTCATGAGAGAAAGAGAGAGGCAGAGGGAGGAGCAGGCTCCCAAGGAGCAGGGAGCCCGATGCGGGACTCGATCCCAGGACCCTGAGATCATGACCTGAGCCGAAGGCAGACGCTCAACCATCTGAGCCACCCAGGCACCCAGACCTCCCTCATTTTTTATGAGCTGTACAGTTTCACATTATGTGAATGTACCAGAATCGATGCAATCGTGTTCCTCTAGGTGCATTTATGGTTTCCTTGCTTTGCTATTGGAATGACTTCATGAAGCTCCTTGCACACACATCCTTGTGCACACATAGTAGTGTTTCGTTAGGACAGAATCCTAGAAATGAAATTGCTAAGCCAAAGGGTGTGCAGAAATAAGTTGATATCAAGTGCAAGTCTTCGCATATGATTGTCCCAATAAAATTTTGAATCACCTGCTTTGCAGATTATTTTAGGAACCCTAGTTTTCTAGGGTTTCCTCTGCCTCTCATCGCTCACTGCGATATGGTAAGTGTTGGGAGGATGTTGGTTTTTGTGTTCTGAAGCATGTCAAATCAAATGACTAGGATTTAAAGAACAAAAATTATAGGAGCGCCTGGGTGGCTTAGATGATTAAGCAACTTCCAGCTCAGGTCATGACCCCAGGGTCCAGGGATCAAGCCCCACATCGGGCTCCTTGCTGGGCAGGGAGCCTGCTTCTCCCTCTCCCTCTACTGTTCCCCCTGCTTGTGCTCTCTTGTTCTCTCTGTCAAATAAATTAATAAAATCTTTAAAAAAAACCCACAAAAATTATACAATTCAACTTATTTTTAATTTCTGGATGATAGAAATGGATTGTTATTAATAATTGGAATATAACACCCTATCCCAACATAACTCCTTATTACCCATATTCATTAGCCTGCAGATCAAAGTTCACCTCCTTGGAGTTAAGTTGGAAGACGCTAACTATAGGCTGGGTATTGGCTCTGCTTCTGTTCCAGCCCCAAGAAGGACATGGGACTTCGGGAACAATAATCCTACTGATTAAACAAGAGCTGCCTGATCTAGCATCCACACAAGGTGCTAAGCCTGCAGAGCGATCTTTCTGTTTTCCTTTTTAATGTATAATTCTACCTCTTAATATTAATACAGACAATGTGGCCTACTTGATTTCCTCGTGAGATAAAAATAACTTTCACTATTGGAGGGTTTTTTTTTTTAAATTAAATTCAATTAGCCCACATAGAGTACATCATTAGTTTCAGATGCAGTGTTCAGTGATTCATCAGTTGCGTATAACACCCAGTGCTCATTACGTCACGTGCCCTCCTTAATGCCCATCACCTTGTTACCACTACTGGAGGGTTTTAAAACTCTTTCAAAGATCCTTTTCACATTGACTTCTTTTGATTCTTAAGATAGCACTTTGAGGCAAGGAAGGCATTTTATAGATGAGGAAACCAAGGGACTTCTAAAAACCATGCAGCTGGGTAATGAGAGCACCAGGGCTAGAAATTCCAAATATACTAATTCCAGGGCTGTTTATACCATACCAGACCATGGGAAAGCAAGAGATACTGAGAAAATGTTACTGTTCAGAAGTAGGTTGCTTTGCTTCTTGAGATATTTCAAAAGACAAGTGATGGACTAGTTGGCCTGTAGAAGTATTTTACACGTTTATAATAAGAACAATTTCTTTTTAGGCTATACTACAACAGATCTAATAATGAATATTATGACTCTCCTAGTTATATGCTTCATAAAATGCAGCTCAGGAAAATGACTTAGAATATCTGAATCCATCATAAACTAGGCAATTTCCCCCAGGATAATGGTGATAGAAATGCTTCATCATCTCTGACTCCAAATACATATAAGGATTAAACCCAACCACGTTGTTACAGCAAAATTAATATACTGTGTTTATAACAGACAATTTTTTCACCCTTATAATTAAATATATGTGAAAATATATACGTGGCCTTAATTAGCAGATTATAATGTTCTGTTCCACCCAGCTACATAAATAGCACCCATGTCCTAAAGAATAATGAATGCATCCTCCAAAATCTATTCCTACATGGGTAATGTTTCCATCATCCACATTTTGGTCTACGTATAAAGCAATGGAGATATCAAGGACACATGGTTTCACATGGCTGGGGGAGCATATTTGCTCCCTGTTTCTGGTTTAAAGGCTAATTGGAATTTTAAAAAGATTTGCCACATTATCCTGGCAGATGGTATTTTGCTTTATCATTATTCATGGGTATTAATGACTTCCCTCTGGAGCATGTGTATCCTGTCTTTTGAATTTCATTACATTTCATGCTGACTGCTCCAAACAGAATTGGATCCAGTATTTTCTGTGTGGTGCTCAAGCTGCGGGTTGTTGGGTTGGTCAAAGTTTTAGACTTGATTAGAAATTAAGTAACTCTTTGAAATGAAGAAAACCTTTTTTCTTCTCTGACTTGAGGATTCCATTACATTTTTCATTTTGTTGAGCTTGCTATCCCACAGGGTTGCACGTAATATCTGGCATGTATGAAGATAGTTCCAAAGTATCCTTCATTAGCCTGAGATTATTAGACATCCTTTCTTTTTCCCTAGAAGGGTTGGGGTTGGTTTCCTAAGTGCAGAAAATGCATGAGGACATGATGTAATGATCTGGCCACAGAAAGTCATTTTTTAACTAATCTCTTCAGCAAATACTTATTAGAGAACAGCCACTTCTTTGTTTAGTTGATCTCTAGAACATTTAAGCCTCACTGAGGCAGCTGGCAGAGTTGAGTCCAACTGGCTAATTACCTGAGGGGAATATGACACTGCAGAGCAGAGCCGCACAGAGCAGAAAACTGGGGGGTGGGGGGCCACAGTCTGTACTTGGGAGTAACAACAAGCTGGAGGAATATATCATGTATATTCTGTATGATATGGAGTATAGCTTAATGGAGCCTTCTGGTAAAACTAAAGCCTTCCTGCAACCAGAGACACAAAGTGTTGTTGGAATATTTGGGAATGGGAAGGTAGGGCTGGGGTAGCCAGCCAGACTTGCTTCCTGCAGCCCTTGTCCTAGCTTGATTCCAGACACTTCACGGCCACCTTCACATCCATCCTCCCCAAATTTTATTCCCCTGTCCTTCAATGTTACTGAGCTAGGCACTGTTTTAGGCCCTGGGATTCAGAAATTAATACAACAGACAAGATCCCTACATCGTGGAAATAGCAATAGTGTCTCTTGAGAGCAGAAAGCAGATTTGTTTGATGGCGGGTATGATAAAGATGTCCCCTCCTGGGACAAATGTTGGTCAGATGTGTTTGCAGCCTATTATAAAACACTGGTGTTTCCTAAGCTTAAGGTTCTTGAGCTGTGACACAAAGCCATTGCCTGTGAGCACCCATCCAGGCCACTGTGTTACCCTCATAGGGCTCAGGGTGTAGGGAAAACTGATGTAAATATCAAGTTCATGCTCTTTACTGGATTGTGAGTAGTAAAGTCCTTTGTTTCTGACCCAGGAGTCTCCTGTTTTCTGGCAGCATGATGAAACTGTGGTCGGCCAACTCATAGGCTTGCAAGTAGGATAAAATCTCAGATCATTCATAGTTCTTGACATTAACTCAGCATAGTACCAGCCAAGTAAGATCTCTATCTTCTCACTTCCCCAAATGAAACCCCTCTTAACCTTGAAGGGACTGTGAGTTGGGAAGGAGTTGAAAAGCTCTAGTTGGGGAAAATAGAGAAGAAACTGACCATGTTCATCTTTTTGCCACTGCAGCCTTTCCTTTGCCTTCTTCAGTAGGTCCAAGATGGGGAAATAGAAATTAAAACTTCACATGAAGTTCAGAGTTTGTACTGAACTGGAGGAAGTAGAGAACATTTTATTATCTAAGCATGACAAGGAATGGCAATGGGTTGATTCTAAATTTCATCCAAAGGGACAGGAAGAATGAACTCTACAGAATAGGTATGTAAGGGAAGTTATGGGACAATAATTAATTAAGGTTATTTTCTATT